AAAAGTCCAACAATGAACGAAGCTTTGCGGAGAGGGTTGGTGTGAAGTGGATGACTTCGCTCGCAAGACTCAGGAGATGAGTAAAGAAGGCTCCGGTAAATCGTACGACTGTCTGCACTTCATCTTCGTAATGCCGTAAACATGGCACTAGAAAAACATGGCTCTGACCCATTCGCATCTCATGGGCGCACCATGCGCGGTCAAACCACTCAGAAGACAGAATGCGTTGTACCAGTGTGTTGAACATCTCATACTGCTGCATGAAAGGTGGTTGCAGTCCAGAGTTTGGTTGTTGATCCAGAGGCACTTGAGAGTAGTTGTACTGCTCAACGTAGTAACGTAGAAACCGTTCTTCGTCCGGCGAAACAACAATGTCGTCCAGTACTACAATGACTGCTCGTGCATTCTTGTAGACATTGTCAATGACTCCGACTGCTGCATTCTTCTCGACTTCGTCGTCCTGTCCGATGCACACTTGGTCATACCACAGCCCTTCACCCACGCCCCTTTCTCTTATAACGGCTTGGAAAAGTGCAGAAGTAGTCGGTAGTGGGAATTGCTCAACCTCCTTCAGCCATCCGAATGGAAGATCTCCGACTGGTGTCAGAACCTTTCTCGGGGTAGTACTTGCAGCATGCTTTCTGCAATAGCTAAGAGCAATGTATCCTCCCTCCTCCCCGTGAAAGCCAATATCGTTTATGAGCCGAAAGGCAAAAGTGCTCTCGCAATGCTCCTTTGGGATAAATTCCTTGACTACCGAGGGTGCTAGGCGTCCGAGGTCGGATAAGAGTGTGGCAGCATCGATGTCGTCTTCGCATGGTATTGCTGACCATTTGTGTCGGTTGAGAAGAGCATCTCGTGTAGAGGGCTTGATGAGTCTGGCGTGGAGACTTGATGTATCCAGGTTGGACTCATCAATATCAATGAATTCGCACTGTCCGAAACGGGCGAACCACTGAGGTGATGTCTGCAAAGCCATATGAATATACATTTCCTGGTGGGTGTGTGTTGGAAAAGTAGTAGTGGTGTTTGATGCACAAGTTATGCTTCGTGGCAAGGCAAGAGACCTATTTGACGTTGAGCCGCTCATCCCAACCCTCTGACCCATGAGCCCTCGGGACACACAAAGCCTTCCGATACACAGCCGTATCCTCACTCTTGGGCCCATCTGGGAGCACGCGACAAGTGGACGCCATGCATAATCGTCGTCTATCAGCCCACCAACGCCACAGGCGCACCGACTACCGCATTGAGTATTTGCGGGGAAACACGAGGGCTTGGCATATCTGATGACAAGAGATTAGGTTGTATGAGGCGTAGTGCAATGTGGTGAAGGTTAGTAGGGTTTGAATGATCCAAATAGTCGGGTTGTCCTGTCTGATGGCACGGGCCTTTGCCGTAACGGCAACCCATGAGCATGACGTCGGCAAAAGCATCGGAATAAGTGGCTGTCATAAGGAAAAAAGGAAATACACGATATGAAACATGCAGCTTCATGGGGCTGTCTCGTCTAACGGTTGGTTGCAGTATGATTGCCTGGCGCTAGAAATTCTAGAAGAAAAAAAGCAAAATAGTCTGCGCAGTACTGCAATTTTACACGGCATGGCAATATCCGAATGTGTTGAGCTGCATGCAGAGGCATCGTGACAGATGTCGTGGTCTCTACAGAGTCAAAAAATAGACCAAGCCACGACAAGAGGGCGTGTTGCAATTGATCGTCACGGTCATGGTCGCGGTTAAGTTCAAAGCATTTCATGCACCATCGGGACGCGTATTCCGATAGATTAACGAGAAGCCACTTAACCCAAAGAGTGTAGAGAGACCGATAGTTGGAAGGATATTGCCAGACTCAGCGATTACCAACCAGAGCAGGCGTCGTCCTCAATGGCCAAACAGCACACATTTCGCAACACCAAAACTCAAATCCTCAGGCTCGCAAACTCAGGCCGCCGCCACAAACTCCAACCGAAACGCATTAATGACAAATCTTTCAACAAACATTTAATCAATCTTCGCATTCGCAAGTCGGTCATTGGAGCCTTGGATAACATTGGACATCCGTACGTTTTGCCGCTTGTATTTGCTGTGTTTCCGGAGCCGTTTTCGTGCGACCATGACTGGCACCGACGACTTGGTGACTAAGTAATTACTGAAAGACCCGAGCAGAACACTGCCGGAGTTAGCATCCATGAATCAGGGGCGGGACTAAAAACTTACCCTTTGAGAGCGTTCCGCCCTCGAGAGCCAAGAATCACAAGAGTTGGCTCCAAGAAATCAATCTATCAATGGACTGTTAGCCAAGTGCAGCACTTCATACAATCCGGAGCTACTCACCACTTCAGTAATCATGTGCTTGGGGCTCTTGCAGTGGAATACTTCGACCACAGCACGCACTTGAAGACGAGTCTTTCGCAGCAATTTGACACATCGATCGGAAACCTCGACACATGCCTGATATCTGTCTTTCTCAGCCTTGCCCATGGCACCAACATTGGCTTCAGTGGCCATGATTGAGTTTGACAATGCTGAGAACCCGGGCCTTGCTTGTGTCAGACCGTCGTGGTTGGACAGAGTCCTCTTGAGGTGGTCTGATTCCTGTCGCCCAGTGGTACCTTGGCTGATAGGCGCCCCAGAAGCATCAGTCGTTGCAACACCAGTCTCCTCGTCAACAGCGTAGACAGCAAGGAGGGTATCACCATCTCGTAAGACTGTGCCGATTGTCCACTCCAAAGCGTATGCAGCCTCATCACTGAGATCGGTCGACACAAGGTATACACGCTGCCTCCTCAACCCTTTGGTAGCGTCCTCTGCAAACTGAACGTAATTACCCCTAATGATCTGTCGAACACAGCGATGAGCTTCTGGGCTTGACTGAATAGGCGAGATATTCAGTGAAAGTTGTTGAGCTGATTTGATTTCAGCGAGCTCATCCTCGTGATCGGAGTGAACTGGTGTAGAAAAGCCAGAACCTCCCTGGTCGAAACTAGTGTGGGGGTGTACAACACCGGACGAGTTTCTTCGAGACATTCTCTCGCCGTTAGGACCAGTGACGTTTATAGAAGGCTCGAGCAATGATCGCACTTTGTAGGAGACAGCAACATCCCTTCCTATGCAGGGTTAGTAGTCAAATGCAAGAGCTTGGCTGCACGTGTCACTTACGTTCTTGCTCTGCTGCGGCCAACAAGCTCTTAGCTGTGATGATTTCTCTGCCCATGCTGTCTGTGCCTCCAGAAGTTTTCCTAGATCGCTGCCTGCCGCGTTCTCGTTTGTTGGTCCCGTTCCACCCATCCTCCCACTCTGAACTATCAGAACCATTTTCGCTGCTCTCCACAGCTGCGCTGTCTTCGCCGTCATCGTCTGTGGCTAGACGGACACCTCCGCCTGGGGCAGTCGATGTGCCCTTGATAGGATCTGAGCCTTTACGGTTGGGAAGTGAAGAAAGCCCACCCTCGGATCGCGCCAAAGCAGAGTCGGAAAGTTTTCGGTACGCCGTGTCCATGTCGATACGCTTGCCTGAATCGGTCATAAGGCTGTTGCTCGAAGTCGAAGTGGGCGGGGGCGGGCTTAGCATGCGCGTTGCTGGAGAAGCAGATCTACGAGGGCCTGGAGATCCAGATTTTGACCGACCCAGAGGGCCATTTAGCGAGTTGTGTCGGTCCCTTGAGTTTGAGGAGCCCAGAAAGCCAGCCGAGCTGCCGTAGACAGTTGACATGGCACGAGGTTTTGCAGAAGCATCGAGCTTGCCGCCTTGCGACACTCTCTTGGGCATGGCATGCGCGTCGATTGAAGGCAACATTTCAAACTTGTATGCCGACTCAGGATTCACTCTGCGAGGCGACGAGGGCATGGCAAAGGGAATGCCAGTGCTCCCACGGCTCGAGCTCCTGCGCGGTCCCGAATCAACGTCTAACATGCTGCGAACCGGCGAAGCAAGTGGGTTGGGGCTTTGCGCGCGCGCAGTCGGGCTTTCTGCGCGTCGTCCTCCGGGCTTCTGGTTGCCCTCGAGGAGTTTTACAACCTCTCTCATCTCCTCATCGATGGCAGCTTCGAGCGAGGCCATGGTAGCGGTGGGTGCAGGATCGATGCGTGGTGAGGCGGTAGTGGGCTCAGGGTCGTGTGCCGGGGTCGGCGTGATGCGTGGCAATGTGGCAATTATCGCAAAAAGATGGTAGTCGTGTTCGCGGGGTAGCTGGGGTGATTGGGGGCGTCAATTGGAGTTGTGCTATGGCATCATAGGCACAGCTAGCTGCTGTCTGATGTGCGGGCTACAGATGCCAGCCACCCCGTCCCAAATGCTGGCCGGTCCGGTCAGGGTATGTGTGTGTGTGTGGGGTGAGCGCGTGATGGTACTAATGCCAGCAGTGGGGTAATAATTCCAAAGACTGTAGCTGAAAGCAATGGCGGGCCGATCCGTCGTACTGTATGTAGCTAACCGCTGTCGGAGAACAAGTTGTTCCCTAGCAGATTGATGGATGCCGACGACATATGGAAAAGGAAGAGCAAGCTTGAGACAAGAGGGCTCCTGGGGGCGGCGACAGTCAGCGCGAGTCGACGGTCGCGGGTGCTCTTGGTCTAGGCGGTAGGAAGTGGGCATCGGACCATCCGTCCCTCCAGCATCTGGCGGTTTGACAAGCCTTGGCACGCGAGGATCACCACCGCCCTCTGCCTGTGCCGCTGGCGCAGGGACGGGCGATGCGGCACGCAACAGAACAGGAAGCGTCTCCGACTCTCTACTATTTATACAGGCACAACATCGCTTTGCTAGCTGTCGCGTGGGCATCTCAGTCCCAGCCCTCGTCTTGCCTCGTCCAAGCATCACATGTGAAAGGAGCCCGTGGCAGAATACGGGGCCGCGTGGAGCAAGTGTGCATGTGGCTGTGCTGACCCATGACGCCGTATGCAGAGATATGTACTCGCCCAGTCGCTAGCCGGAGCACTCGTAGAAATAATGTACATTGGTGCGTTACGAACGGCACGTTGTGCTTTGCTAACCTATACTTTTACCTCTTCCTAGGAAGCACAATGTTGGCTCGCGCTGCAACGCCCAGCTTGTGAATGGCGTTGCGCCTGTCCCAGATACCACTGGTGCCCTGTACTACTGCAATAAGCTCTTGCGCAATTCGCTGGGCAAAGCTGTTCTTTCCACTGCCCATGTTCCTCCTCTTTGAGGCAGCCGCCATGATCCACTGGATGGCTGCGCGCCGCCGTTGCCTCTGGCCCAGAGGCACAGGAATCTGAAGAGCGACACCTCCTCCGGCTGCACCTCTCTGACTTCGAATGCGCATCAGGGGTGCGACCGAGTCAATGGCCAGTGTAAGATAGAGGACGGGGTTGAGAGGGAGGTGTGATGGCGGGGGCGCACCGGGAAGCAGTGGCCTGGAGGGGTTGATGGTGGGGATAGGCGATGTTCGGAGGTGTTGGAGGATCAATGCCATGTTCTGTTTTTTTCTTGTTGTTAGCTGTATGTACGCTAGGTTGTAGTACCGAAATGACGTACCCGCTCTGCAACGCTCTTCTTGCCGTGTCGCATGAGCAGATTGGTAACCTGGTCGACTACTGGATCATGGCGATGCTTGACATGACCGTCTTTTGGTAGTGGTAGAGTGGGCATGTCGAATTTGAGACCTGGTATGGCGGGTGCTTTTGAGGCGTTCTGGGCATTGATTAGGCCCATATCCAATCCACTGTTGGCGTTGGTCTGAGTCGTCATGGTCGAGTATGATCGTGAGCCCTTTGGCGCTCCATTTGGTGCCGTGTTGAACTTTTGAGAACTGAGCTTGTCTTGCATAATCTTGGGCAGGTTTTCTTGCGCGGCCTTGTCACCTTTGACTACCTAGTCGGCTGTCAGCATATCTGCGGCCGCGTATGTTGGGCGGTGACCTCACATCCTCAATTGGTGTGCCCTGGCTGAGATCAGGTCCCTCCTCGCCCATGGTCCTTGCCAGAGCAGCAGCCTCTTCGGAGACATGCTCAATCGGCTTTGCATCTTCTCGCTTGGAGCGGTCCGCGGCGGGCGGTTTGGCTGAATCAGAATACAGGCGCCATTGAGCCGATGGCAGTCGAAGTGCTGATCGGGCAGGGCATTGCACCTGGGGCCTCGGCCGGAAGGCAATTGGTCGCGTGAAGGCAGCAATACTTAATCTCGGTGGCATCGTGGGGTGTTGTGTGGTGGGCGGCGAAGTTGCAAAGTGACGATGCTGAATATTCCAGTTCCGGCCAATGTCGCGCCGGGCGGCCCGTGCGCCATACGTCAAGTAAAAAAGAGCAGCTTGCAGGCTATGATCCCTCTACCAGCTTCAACATCGGCCTGCAAACGGCCGCATAGCACATGCTTTTATTGCAAGGTTTCAGCTAACGCATCTGACTGACTACAGCTTTCTTACAGTTGGCACCGCGATTGTTGCTACTGCTGCAGCAGCAGCTGCAGCACCCTCAACCGGAGTGTGCGGAAGGACGAGAGGTCACGATTGAGCTTCTCAGCTTTTGCTATTTCTTTCTTACCAGGTCAACAGTCTTCCAAGTCTATCGCATCATCTCTCAACGTCTTTCGTCATCAGTTTTTTTTCCTACAGTCATGGATATTGTTTCCTTCTGTCCTTCCTTCTCAAGCATCCCGACATGCTACCCTACCCTCAGCCTGGAGCCCATGTCGCCAGTGAGGGCTTTTTCGCCGCTTTTACCGCGATAAAAAATATCCAGTCTTCTCTTTATCGCGCATTCTAAAGTGGGCTTTGGGGAAGCGCATTGAGCAACGCTCAACGTATGAGGAGGGCACATGATTATTGCTTTTTGCTGGGGCAGCTCCGACCGCGCTAGCGTTGCCTATCGCACGCCACCATCAGTCCCTCTATCGCACTGCCATGGACAAGGCCGATGCCGATGGCCTCGTTCTTTTTTGTTTTGTTTTGGCTGTGCGTGTCTTGGGCTGTGTGTAGGCAATGGCGGGGATGCGGGGCGGGACTTTGCATACACAGACATACATGTATGTACACTGTACACGGGCAGACGTGGAGCGCAGTGAGCCTGGGCGATGGCAGTGCCAGTGCCAGTGCCAGCGCCCGTGCCCCCGCCCGCCCGCTGTACTCGCAGTAGCATTGGCATAGCACCTGCCCCCCGCGCGCTGGGCGTGTCGCCTGTGGCTGGAGCCAATGGGAGAGGCGCAACCCCGCATGGCGTACCACGACAGTCGGAGAGGGAGAGGGTAAGAATGCATGTAATATGGCGAGTGTCTTTAAGCTCCTGTCGTGGCGGCGGCATGCATCGTAGGCGTGCAAGTGCAAGGCGGGCGCATCATGGCGAGCGGCAATCCGCCAGCAGCCATCAGTCTTCCCCGCACTAGGCCGGAGAGACGACAGCCAACCATGTGACCATCCAGCCCAGCCACTCTTGTTTCACCCCGCTGCAGCGGTAGGCAGTGGGCAGTGGGCAGTGGACAGTGGGCAGCAGGCAGCACGCTGGCCGCCGTTGATCTTGCACACCCGGCCTAATTAGCTTATCGCATGCCAGAGAGAGAGAGCGGTGACGGGCCCGCTCCAGCCCAGCCCAGCCCAGCCGGTACTGTACTCGCACCATGAGCGCATTCCCGCCCGCTTCTCTCTCTCGTCCTGCTCCCAACATCTCACTTGCCCCAAGCGCTAGGCACCCTCGACACTGCTGCAAGGTGCTCGCCCCGATTGTCGCGTCACAAGGGTGCTCCCCGTGTGCCTGCAGACCCGCAGACCCTCGACCTAGTGGACCCGGCGTACTTACAGTAATCCCGATTGCGCACCAGCCTCCTCCCCTCCACACCCTCCGTTATCGATACAGCAACTGCAGCCCACCACGGCGCACCCCAGCATGATTGACACAATGGACCGCGGGAGTCTGTATGAACACGACATCCCTTCTCTCAGCGCCTCGCTCGAGGCCTTTGACCCCGAGCGCAGCATGCACTCGGCCTACAGCAGCCGCTCCAACATGCACTCGTCGCGATGGAGCGTACCCCAGGACGACCCAGACTCCGAGACCGAGTCGGACGGCCCTTGGGCCCCTCCGGCATGGCAAAAATCACAGTCCAGCAACCACTGGTACCGCAAGTCGCTGCTGGGCGAAAGCGCAATGCGCAACAGCCCCTCCAGGTCGCCATTCGACTACCGCACTGATCGCGAAGTCACTCCCTCGCGCATACCATTGCCCGAGTCGCCATACAAGCAGACGCCGCGCACAAGTCCAGAGCCCATACCAGAGGAAGAACAGAGATTCCTGTCCGCCAGCATCGCCTCGCGCCTCCAGAGTCCCGCCCTCGTCGTCGTCGCCGACGACCACCCCGCCCCGCCCACCCCAAGTCCATGCGCGCTCCCAGGAAAGGAGCTGGAGCTGTCGCATCATGACCAGGACGGTCCAGCAGAGGGTTGTAAGTCGTCCCCATCAATGCGCGCTGTAGAAACTGACAGCCTTAGTCATGCGCTTTGCTTACAGAGGAGAAGCCAAGTTTCGTACCGCACCCATTGAGGACACCATTTCTACTTTTGCCAGTGGCCTTCACATCTTCACCAAGTCAAGAGCAAACGTCATTCTTACCGTTGCCACTGTCCTGCTGTCATGGATCCTTCTGCAGCCCTGGACAGCCAGCCTAATTCCAGACGTCGCAAACGTAGCCAACATGGCCAAGCAGTTTGAGCCGCTTCTCTACGCGTCTGAAAATGTAATACCGCGGTCGCGCGAGCTCGCAGAGGCAAGTATCGCTGTCCAAGATTTAGGAGAGAGCGTTCGAGCGACAAATATGTCGGCGTCCTCGGTCATTATTGACCAGCTCGACGACTTGGGCGACAGCCTCAAGATCTTGTCTGAGAAGATTACGAGCTTCTTCACAAATGTGGACGGTGATATGGACTCGTAGGTATACATCGCTCGACGCTCACACACCCACTAATGATTGTAGCATCCTTATCACCATGGAGTGGGCCAAGCGCGAGCTGCAGAGCATCCAAGGCCCCAAGATTGGTGTGATTGATACAATCATCGGAAACGTGCACGGTGGTCTGAGTAAGATTGGCCTGCTTGAGCGCAATGGCTCCCCCACTGCGATAGGGCGTGTGGTAAATGATGTTCTCGGCCACACTACCCAGCAGCGCTCCAAAGCCACCCTGCAACGCACATTTGACTATCTCCTCTCCACGCTAGAAGAGAACATTGCAAACGAGCTTGCGCGCGCAGACGTGCTATTCCAGCTCTTCGAAAGCGTAGACCGGCAATTCCACAACCTCCATCGCTCTGTTGCCAAGGAAGAGGACTCGCTCGCAAACAGAAAAGACGAGTTCCTCGCGTCCATGTGGCGCATGACCATCAACAACAAGATGAAGATTAAAAAGTACGAGAGGAACCTGAAGCTCCTCAAGGATGTCCGCGCATCCACTTTGATCAACAAGTCTGAGCTCAAGGGCCATATCCAAATCATCCACTCCGTCAAAGACCAACTGGACAAGGCGCGCAAAAACCTCATTAGCCCCCTCATCCGCCGGGCACAGAGCAACAGCTTCGGCCTGGAGCAACAACTCAACGACCTGACAGGAACCTATGGATTTCTGAAAAACCTTCGAGACGGCCAAAAGAAGAAAGTCCTCCAGCAATTATGGGGCGAGCCCAAAAAGCGCATCGCCATTACAGCTGGTGGCAAAGAGGAAGAGATTGACGAGGGCGACCACTAAACACGCCCCGCCTCTGACCTCGAATTATTAGCTCTTCGTCTCCCGTTTTCCAACTATAGACTCTGGTTTCTGGCGCATTGAGGGGCATATCCTTGTCTCGTTTCATCTGTCCTTTCTAGCATTGCAAGCGACTTGGTATAGACAAACGAGACCATGGGATTCTTCTTGCGTGCTTTTATCCATTGGCGGAGTTTGCAGGCGTCACAAACATACACTCACATTATCGAAAATGTGGCTTCCCTCTTTGTTGCATTACAGCGAGATTTTGGTTCTTGTTGTTGCTGTTATAGCAGGCGAAACAAAGGAGTGGAGGCGTACATTGGCGTGAATTGAATTGAATTGAATGGAATGGAATTGAGTTCAGTTGAATTCGGTTGAATTGGATCGGATTGGATCGGATTGGATTGAAATGGAATGGAATGGGATGGAATGGGATGATGGGTTTAGCGTTTTCCTTGCATGTAACGTACATTTGCTGCAAAAGCCTTTTGTACATGTTATTCGATGTAAACAGCAATCCAAGCGATTGTACTTTATAGGGTTCTCGTTTTGTTTAGTACTGCCAAACGCATCGTTAGGAGCGAAATGTGTGTGTTTTTTTCATATCATGTAGTATCAAAGTAGTAAATATGAAATATTGCTATGTATAATTCTTTTTATAGTATGAAAAAGATAAGAGAAAGCCGCTAAATTAGCCCTGCCCTCAACAGCTTGTTGCCGAATTCCAGCAAATAGTAGTCGGCGTATACAAGCCCGTGATCCTTGTACTTTTGGTGCGCATGCTCATTCCAGTTCGTCGTACTGTGTCGCAGTATGCCATCAAACGACGATTCCTTGACCACCACACCTTCCCCACCACTCGCACCCCCATTCACCTTTCCCTCGCCCCGCGCCTCAAACAGCGCCATGTCGCTATCATACGCATACTCAATCGTCTGCGCCACAATCTGCAGCGCCGTCTCCAAAAAATCAACTCCACCGCCCATTTCCGCCGCAGTCTCCGCATCCAAACCCTGAAGCGCCTGATGTATAATCAACAACCCATTCGCCGCAATCACACCTGCAGAAACATCTCTCAGCGGGCCCCTTTCCCCTTCCCCTTCCTCTTCCTCCCCATCCCCTTCCCCAACCGGCGCATCAAAATCCCACCTCGGCACCAACTCGGCCCTCCATCTCCCCTCGCCCTCCCTGCACCTCTTGAGAAAATACCGTGCACACCCCACCGCCGTCGCCAGAAACTGTGCGTCTTTTGTCCACGCATACGTCTGCGCGAAGCCCAGCACCGACCACGCTTGGCCGCGACTCCACGTCGACGCGTCGGCATGGCCCTGGTTCGTCATTTTTGCCTGCACGAGCCCCGTGCGCGGGGAGAAGTTGACGAGGTGGTACGAGGAGTAGTCTTGGCGTAGGATCTCGTGGGTTATGCGCGTGGCGTGGGTTGTTGCTATGGCAGAGAGGTGCGGGGAGGAGGTGGTGTGCGAGGTGAAGTAGAGGAGGTCGAGGTCTTGGGGTTTTTTTGGTTAGAAATAAACGACTAAGTAAGTAAGGAAAAGAGGGGGGAGGAGGAAGAGGAAGAGGAGGAGAGGGGAGGACGCACTGCACATGCTGTCGATTATGACGAGAAAGTTCTCCTCCATGTCGGTTATACTGTAGCGATCGTTGATTGCAGTGTCCCAACTCCGAATCGCCTGCACACGCTCGTCGTACCGCGATGCCAGTGCCTCGGCTGCGTTGACGACAGCGGCAAGGCTTTCCTTGTTGCCGGTGAGTTCCCAGTCGCGCTGCAGGGCCGGTTGCACGATGAAACCCATGTCGTGGGTGTCTGTTCTGCTGGACATTTGACGGATGGCGACGCTGTAGTGGCGGCCTAGTTTCAAGAGGTATTCTTGCATGGTAGGCCGGAGTTGAGGGGGAACAGAGAGGGCTTGGGGGTATTTCATGGAGCGCTCGAGGAGCGTGTAGATGCTTCCTGGGAAGAATCCGCAGGTCCAGAAGAGGGATTCGCGTTCTTCGTAGCGGCCGGCGTTGGGGCCTGTCTGGGGGACTGTGTGGGGGTAGGAGGGTAGAGGGGCCTGGGGGGTTTGTTAGGTTGAGTTGGATTGGGAGTTTGACTTGGTAGTCGGTAGTGGGGGAAAGAGGGTTACGCAACTGGTTTCTTTAGGCCTCGTTGGGCCACTTGGATGATTTTTGCAAGGACATTTTCGGAGAAGATGGCGCTGAGGTCGATGTTTTTGATACTGGGGAAATGTGAGTAGGGGTCATCAGCTTGAACAGAGTGCTTTTTACACTGCGGCTGGGGCGATCCCGTTAATTTCTTGTACAGCGTCACCCATTTTTTCTCTCTTGGTAATCAACACGCGTGATCTGACTATGGCTGGAATAGGTGTGGTGATGATATCCTGATTGGGTGTGTAAACGGCCCCTCAATGCGGTAATGTTCAAAATGGGTCAAACAATAGTTCCCAGGGTATTCACACGAGTTGAAAGAAACGTGAAGGGGGAGATGCCAGTAAAAGTAGCTCCCTCAGGCACCAAACTCATATTTGTAGACGCGCGCATGTTTTCGTGGCTTATTCCAACGACGTCGGGCTATCTCGTTCCAACAAAGTTGGGCTGACGACTAGTCATGGGATCTGCATTGTTCCGATGCCCGGATCCTGCCCGTTTACGGCCAAGGTAATCCATCCGCTACAGGAACGTCACCGCAGTCGAAGTTTGCATCTGTCGTTTGCTCCTGTTTTCGGTAAATGCTGTGACTTTGAGATAATCCCTACTAGATTGAGCATGGCCGTTGACATACGTTCAGCATGTCACGCTACTATGAAAAACGTCTGGGGACCCTAGGCTTAACTTGATACACGGAATAATTAGTATGACCGTTATAAATTAAATTATCCCCAGATTACGGTTCGCTTATAGACAGTATGTAAAAGGGTAGAAATGCCGCTGGGGGCCTCGTCAAATCCTTCGCATCTTCGTCTTCATGATGTTTTCTTGCATCATCTGGGGACTCCTGTTGGGATCCTTGGCCTCTGCTGTGCCACAACACGAGTCAAAAAGGGTAGCTCCTACACTTCCGTTATCCACCAAGGGTCGAGACATCATCGACGCTAATGGAAATGTCTTCCACTTCATGTCGACGAACTGGCCGGGCCATCAGGAGATCATGATACCCGAGGGCCTTCAACACTCCTCGATCGAAAAAATTGTATCTTGGTTCCCAAAGCTCGGTCTTAATTCTGTGCGGATGCCATTTGCGATTGAGATGGTGGACGACTACTTGGCAAATAGCCCTAATCAGACTCTGGAGAGGAGCGTCCTAAGATCTATTCCTGGTACTAATGGAACAAAGGTTTTGGACTCCATCTTGAAAAACAATCCGCAATTCACGAAAAATACCACTAGATTGCAGGTTTGGGATGCCGTCGCCAAAGAGTTAGCGCGCCAAGGTATCGTTCTCCACCTTGACAACCACGTGAGCAAGGCCTTCTGGTGCTGCGGCGAGAACGATGGAAATGGTTGGTTTGGAGAAAAGTACTTTGATGTTTAAAAATGGAAGCGAGGCCTGGCGTTTATGGCGAAACACGCAAGTACCTTCCGTGGCCAACACCCTTGCTTAAAGCTAATCGATTCAGGCCAAGGAAAATTGGCCCACGTTTTCCTCGATGGGTTTACGCAATGAGCTGCGGAACGCCAAGGGCGCTGAGCCTGTAGACTGGTACACGTGGTACATCCACATGACGAGTGCTGCCAATGCCGTCTATCAAGCTGACCCGGATGCCCTGATATTCTTCTCTGGACTCTCCTACGATACCTATATCGACCCTATCCCACTCGGCAAAACGCTTAGCGGAACTGCTGGTACTTCTACTGCTAATAAGAAGGCTACGTTTGTCTCAAGCGACTTTGCGTGGAAGAACAAGATTGTGCTGGAGATTCACAAGTACGACTTTGAGGGAACGAAGGACGACTGCCAGACGTTCAAGAGAAAATGGTACCAGAGTGGATTCCAGGCGGTCAATGCCAGTGACCCTGCGACCAAGTACGTCTTTCCAATGGTCATTTCCGAGTGGGGCTTCATCAACAACGGCGTTTACTGGAACCAAACAACATATGCCAAGTGTCTGGTCGAGATGGTCAAAGAGTACAAGGTTGGCTGGCAACATTGGGAGCTTTGTGGTAGCTTCTATCTTCAAACGCGACCAAATAGGCAGCCCAATACACTTGTTGGGGCAGATGAAGCTTGGGGTATACTGAACTACGACTGGTCGGCTATCAGGTCACCTGTCACTCTTGAAAATAGTCTGTTCAAGATGATTGCCGCCTTGAAATAGGAGACAGCGTGTTGGACTATGTTAGTATACTTCTGGTTGACCCTACATGATGCAGGATAATGTGGTTCAGCAAGACATACCTATATTGGAATAAACTCCTATCGTGACTTCAACCTAGTGACGTGACATAAAGCAAGGGATTGAGATAACGCAGTTCAAAGAGGGATCTTATCCTGCTTGAATCCTCCATGTAGCTATTGCATGTATGGCGTCATGTACGCAAGTCAGCTTCTTTGTCATCGTACAGCAGACAAAGAAGGATGCAATATGCGTCATGTACGATGTATAGTTTCTTCACATAGCATCCTGTATCAAAATTTTCCTCCAGTGAATTTAGGCGAACAACGGGCCGAGGAACCTAGCCCTTCCGTAAAAACGTACGCTACATTCATGCCACGCTCGCCAAGCAGCCTCCTCACATAAAAGTCTGAGCTTCAATTCGCTACTCCACACTTTATCCGTCGCCATGTCAGCCTCCCGGCAGCTGGTGGCTGCCTGACGCAAGGGTGTTCCTGTCCTCGGCAGCAGATGTGAGATAGCCGTATACGAAGGGCCCGTCCCCGCGGTAGCCATCCAAAAACAGGAATTACCCGGTGCCCGTTTTCCCAGATCCCCCAGATCCCCCACTCAATTCCCGAGTCTTTGTCCACAACAGCGGGAGCTATTTATTAGACGAAACTCTGGGGTACGAGCCAATGTTTGCACCTCATCTCACAAGGGCCCCGTCTTTTTTGCACCCCTCTCCCCGAAGTCGTGCCGAGGTATATCGACCTCACCCGTAACAACAACAGCGGCGACACAACAACAATGATGGCGGGTACGCAGCCTAGGAGCGAGACTACTGGTATCTCCGACAGGACAGACGGGTTCGACACTAGCGTCATTGCGCCAGCCGAGGCACCCAAGAGATCGCCATGGAAGGCGTGGATGTACCTCTGGGAATGGTATCCTAAGCATTATCCACCGGAAGAGAGGAAGCTTCTGAGGAAGATGGACGCATGTCTCTTGACATTCTGCTCATTCATGTGTATGTAACTCTGTGAGAACATTTCCCAATACAAACTAAGAGCCAACACCCGCAGTCTTCCTGAAATGGCTCGACTCGTCAAACATCAAAAACGCCTACGTTTCCGGTATGAAAGAGGAGCTCGAGCTGTATGGAAACGAGTACTCGCTCTTCGACACTTTTTACAATATCGGGTACCTTGTCTTCCAGGTTCCCTCTTTATTGCTTCTTTCTAGACCGAAAGTCGCAAAGTACTATCTACCTACCATGGAAGTACTCTGGTCAATTGTGACTTTTTGCCAGAGTCAGATGCGCAGTAGAAACGATATATATGGCACTCGCTTCTTACTTGGTTTACTCGAAACTCCCGTGGCATCCGGCACCACGTACGTTCTGGGTTCTTGGTACAGGCCTGAAGAGGTGTTTAAGCGTACTGGAGTCTGGTTCGTCTCTAACAACATTGCCGTCATGTTTGGTGGCTACCTTCAAGCCGCAGCTTATAAGAATCTCAACGGGTGAGTTACTGGGCTTGTGACCTTTGGAAGGTGCCTCATTTTGACATGTTGTAGGGTTCGTGGCATGGCTGGGTGGCGCTGGCTATTCATCATCGACGGGGTGATATCCCTACCCATCGCTTTAGCCGGGTACTTAATTTTCCCCGGTCTCCCAAGTAGCAAGAGGCCATGGTGGCTCACGCCCAAAGAGCATGAATTAGCTCGGTCTCGCATGGTCAACGCAGGTGTGCAGCCTAGCAAAGAGCTAAGTTGGACGGTAGCCAAGCGCACATTCACTCGCTGGGAATTTTATATGGGCGTCCTCTGCTACACCTTGTAAGTTTTCATCTTATTCACACCAAGCTCAGCCCCCACTAACCTCCAGAAACAGTTTCTTGTCCTCATCCTACCCCCACGGACAAATGGCCATCTGGCTCAAAGATCTCACAGCCAAGCACCCAGGTGCATACACTGTGCCGCAGATCAACACAATCCCTACCGGTGCTCAAGGTGTCTCTGTTTTCGCTGCTATACTCGCAACTTCGCTATGCATGGTGTACCCGCTTTGGTCCATTTTCTCCATTGTCCAAACCATTTACATCATAGCAAACATCTCCCTGTTGATCTGGAACATACCAAAGGGTTACCACTTTGCCTGCTATTATCTTCTCGGCGTATCAGCAGCGATAACACCCATACTCATGCCTTTTATCAACATGGCGCTGCGTGATGATGCTGAAGCACGCGCGGTGACCGTTGGGGCGATGCTGACGGCCGGGTGGGCGGTATTTTCATTTTATCCCATTACGGTATTTCCGATTGTTGAGGGCCCGAGATGGACGAAAGGGTATGCGGTTAATATTTGCTTTGTTGTTGGGTGTTGGGCTACGTTTTTGATTATGCAGTATTTGTATAAAATGAGTGAGAAGAGGAAACAAGCGCTTGCTGTTGGGGAGATGATGAAGAGTGATGAGGATATGGTGGGGGTGGATGTGTATGGCAAAGATGGGGCCGAGATGGAGCGTGGGGAGTCGAGGTGAGAACGTAGTGGATTATCTAATTAATGCGAGTTTAGTTCCGTGTTGCATGCGACTATTTAAGACAAGGACATGGCTAAGTGAGGATCGCAGTGCACGACTCCACGCCTGACATCTCTTACCAACTTCCAACATTCATCAGGCCGAGAAAAGCTGCCACTTCCCGCGAGCATTATCCGCGCATCACATCACACCAGAAAAATCATTGCCCGGAATACTTTCCCTCTCCCTCTCTCATCTCCCTCTTCTAGCATCGTCAACATAACGCAAATCCACCTAAGCATGGAACGCCGCGGAACCTTGACATAAATAGCTTGACACGATTCATGCTCATTCCCCACACCGACACAACAATTACATCTCCCCTACGATGCACAAATACAAATCCCCCAATTCCGCATGACCAGTTTGGCCAAAAATGCCATGTTAGATCACAATGATGTCGACCTGTCGTACCCCAACCCCCCATCCAATCACACACCCCCACAAACCCCCCCTTGCTCTGCGGCTCCTCAGCCCTGCAATTTTCGCACATCTAGGACCCACTTTCTGAACCAACTACGCCGCAATCCAACTTTGGCGAAAGTAAGATTTCTTGCATGGGAAAGACGTGCAGCGGGCTGCGCGGGATTGTGATTCGATTTGGTTTGATTTGTTTGGCGGGGTGATCCACTGGAAAGCGGTGTTTCGGGACTGGCCCTGCGTCAGGCAAGGGTAGTAAGAAGGAAAATGGAATGGTACCTTTGGGATGGCCCGCGGCTGCAAGGCACGATGTTTTTTTTTCGTGTTTGTGAGGCCGAAGGGGGGAAAGGGGACGCGTATGAGGTGCTATTACATCATGTTGTAATTGTCATGAGATGTTGCTTGTACAATAGGCTCCGGGTCATCCTGTTTCTTAGTTACTGTGGTGGCTTTGTAAATTCGCTTTGTATATTCTTCCTTTACTACCGTCTTTTAAGTTAATTCTCCAACGAATACTACGAATAATGGCTGTTCTACGCTCTTCGAATATGTTGATGCGTCGTTTTGCGCGTCCAGTTCCACCAGCGTTCCGCGTACGACCAGTTGCAGCATCTCTTCAACGCAGGGCATTTGCGTCGAATCTGGACGCGGGTTTGCCTCAGGTTCAGCGCAACAAGGTTGAGAACGGGGAGAAGAAGAGTTTGGGGCCTTTTGATCTTTCAGGGAAAGTTTTTGTCGTTACAGGTACAACCTTCCGTCCGATTTCTACAGCTACCACTGTGTATTTGTGATTGATGTTAACATTTCGACAGGCGGAGGTGATGGCCTCGGACTATGTATGGCAGAAGGTCTCGTAGAAGCTGGCGGTAGAGTCCACTGTCTCGATCGATTACCAGAGCCCTCCCAAGCCTTTCAAGAAGCACGAGCACGAGCAAACAGCTCCAATGGCGCAGGTCTAGAATACCATACCGTTGACGTCACACACGACGATGCCATTCAAAAATGCATCCAAGATATTGCGGATCAAAAACAAAGACTTGATGGTCTCATTGCAGGTAAGAGAACACCATATCCAGCAATCACCACAAACCAACTAACCCGTTCCACAGCCGCAGCAGTCCAACAAGTCACCCCAGCCCTCGATTTCCGCAAAGAAGACATCGCCAAAATGCTCGACGTAAACTTCACGGGCGTCTTCCTCACCGCCCGCGAATGCGCCCGCCAAATGCTACGCTACAAAATCCAAGGCTCAATCTGCCTCGTCGCATCCATGAGCGGCACAATCGCCAACCGGGGTTTCCTGGCCCCGGTATACAACTCCTCAAAAGCCGCAGTCATTCAGCTCGCACGCAACTTGGCTATGGAGTGGGGAAGGAAGAACGAAGATGGAGCTGGGGGCATTCGAGTTAATTCGCTGAGTCCCGGGCATATTGTTACGCCGATGGTTCAGGCGAATTTCGATGCGGGCGAGGCGGATCCCAAGGAGTGGGAGAATAATAGTATGCTAGGACGGTTGAGTACGCCCGAGGAGTATAAGGCGGTAGGGTTGTTTATGCTGAGTGGTGCGAGTAGTTATATGACGGGGCATGATTTGAAGATTGATGGGGGTACGACTGCTTGGTGAGAGGATGGGGTTAGTTTGCTGGCGTTGTGCATTTTGAGCGTTTTCTGCGATTATTCGAGATTTCAGATGGTTGAAGATGTATCATTCGTCTTGATGTAACATAGCAGCTGCTTGTTTGTGTACTCTGTACCATGGCGTAGCAGTCTCCACGTGTTGTCGATGTCGAAGCTACCACCAGGGTGCATGGGCCCCACCAGCGCTTTTACCCGCATCGGCTCTAGTTTACAATCGGACTATCTGTCCTTCCGCGCTCCCCTTGCGACAGCTGTACAATTCCACGAGCGCCCTTTCACAGAGAAGAGTGAGAGAGGCACAACAAAACGTCGGGCTTGCAAGCGCTGCAGCTCTCAACAAAATCCCAGGACCCACAACCAATTCAACAATGGACCGGTTAGCACGCCTCGTCAGCTGCCTGCTGCTTGCCCTCCTCCCTCTCACTGCGGCCCTCAAATTCGACCTTCATCCAGTGGCTGAGCGCGATTCGGCCCGGTACGAGCGATGCATTAGGAATTTCGTTGCAAAAGAGCAGTTGGTGGTTGTCACGGCGATACTGGATGGGTATAGGGGAGATGGCCAAAGGGTTGATATGCATGTATGTTTTTTCTTGAATCCAGGCACGATATACGGGCTCAATTGCAACTTGACATCGCATACAAACAAGCATTTCACCAACAGGACCTTTTGCTGACATGGAAATCTTCTAGATCCGCGACGCAATGGGCAACGACTACCACCGCCCTAAGGACGTAGTAGGCGAGAACCGCTACGCATTCACTTCGCACGCCGACTCGGTCTTTGACGTCTGCTTCGCCAACGTCTTCACATCTGCCTCGTCGTCCAAGTCGATCAAGCCCCGCCATGTCGAACTCGACATCGACATTGGTGCCGACGCAAAGGACTGGAACGCCATTTCCGCCAGCGAGAAGCTCAAGCCCGTCGAGGCCGAACTGCGTAGGATTGAAGAGGTCGTCGGCGAGATTGTCAGGGAAATGGATTACTTGAGGTGGCGTGAGCAGAGGCTCAGGGATACGAATGAGAGTACCAATGAGAGAGTCAAGTGGTTTGCTGTTGGCACCATGGGCATGCTGGTTGGTCTGGGTGCGTGGCAGATTATTTACCTCAGGGCTTATTTCAGGAGTAAGCACCTTATCTAGATACATGCACGGATTGAGGAGTTGGAGGACATGTGTGTACAAGACGTTGTGGGGAAAGCGGCAGAAGGCAAAGGGCACGTGTATGAACAGCGTTATGGATTGCATACTTGGCTAGCAATGGCAATTGAAGCGGCGTTGGGAGGGATATTATACCAAGAACAAAAATTCAAAGCATCGTCATAATGGTTCTTCTAAAAGTGGTAACGACTGAGTGGCCAAGACGTTGGTGCGTCAGTCATATAGGCCCTGGACAGCGCTTCCCTGACGTATGAACCCCGCCCATAAACATGGTTCACTAAGTTGGTCACGCGAGCAGCAGCAAAACATACCGAGGACTGCTTGGATTCAAGCATCACTGGCCAAGTACACTTGATACTTCATGGATTCACCAAAACGGTTTATACCTGCAGGAAGGGAGAGATATTCCAAACGAGTGACTTTATTCCATTCCTCATAATCATCATCAAGAAAAACGAGTGTAATGCGTATGAATCTCCAGATTCCAGAACCCAGTACTGAACTCATCCATACGCGATCGAAATGAATGTGTGTTATATACAGCAAGGTAGAAAAGAGTGTGAGCAGTGCAACGATGCACTATTTTTTTTTGTCAAGAGAGTGGAATGTGCACCTTGAGCAGAAAGAACGGAAGAAACTTGGCAAGTTGCAAGTATCTATCAAACCGTCACATACTCGATGATGACGGATGTGACGACTGTGGTCTGGGGGTTCGCGGGGGCTGTAGGTGCTGGAGAGGGTTGAGGTGTAGTTGGTGGGTTTGCAACTGGTGGTGTGGCGATTGACGTTTGTGTGGATGATGTGGGGGAAGAAGATACCGCTGAAGGAGATGCGGCAGAAGACTGTACAGAGGAAGACGAAGCCGCAGACGAAACAGCCAAAGAAGATGTAGGCAGAGATGCTACAACCGACGAAGCCACAGGCGCCGACGTAGCAGAAGTCACGTTATTCACCACTGGCACACTGATCGGCTTCAATAGCACATTGTCAGGCATCGGCCTCGGGACATCCGAATTCTCAATCTCGGATACCAGCGTAGCATTCTTCCATACGAATTTCCCTGCAATGGCATCGTACTGGCCCGTCATTTGGTGATCGGGTAGCGTTGTGTTCGTGCCGTCGGGACCCGGTCCATTGTACACAGGGGGATTTCCACGGATGTCCGTGTTATACTGCACGTTGCCGTGCGAGATGGGGACTTGGGTGTCTGACTTGGGGATGCTGATTGCGACGTTGCGGATGGTGACGTTGAGGCCTGGAGGGGGCTTGTTGCGTGGGATTTCGGTGAGGTCGAGGGCTTGGATGCGCCAGCTGAAGTTTTCTTTGAGGTAGGCTTCGACAGTTTCTTTTTTGAGGTCCTTGAGTTGCCCTGACTCGTGTTTGCGCATCAGGGCTTGGGAAAGGCCGATGTTGCCGGTTACGGTGAGAGCGGAGTTGGAGAGGGGAGAGGACATGGAGGCGAGTTGGCCGATGTAGTTGTCGTCGGTTGGCCAGTCGGCTGGGTTGGAGCTTGGTTCACCGAGGAAGGCGCGGACAGCGTACGAGATGTGAATGTTGGCTGGCATGTTGACTTCGCATGACCATTCCGTAGCTGGTAGGGTAGCATTCTTGCCCACTGGAGCTGGCAAGGTTGTGTTTCCAGGTTGGGTTGAGTTGCTAATTGGCAGAGCAGGGGTCTGTGGCTTATACAACTGGTTGATAGTAGAGGTGAGTGTCTTGTTGCTTGGGTTACCAACAAGCTCGGGGTAGGTGTAGCCAAAGGCGGTCCAGTCGCGTGACGTGGTGGACGTCCACATATCACCCAGAGCATTCATGTGGAATGGTGGCAGAGGAGAGGCTGCCCCTATAACACTGCCTCTGGCAATAGCAAAAGTTCCTCGATCTTGTTTGGAATCTTCGACATAGGTATCAGGGTAGCGAGCCTGGAAAAGTGCCAGGAGCCGATCAACATTGCTGGACTTTGTCAGAATGATTTTTTGTTTTCTCCAAGTAATGTGACATACCAGTGATGGAACCAAAAGATTGGATCAAATGCAGAGACCTCTGTAATTCCCATGTGTCCCAGTCCAAAGACATTGTGTACACCGTCGTGAACACTTTCAAAGTTACCAATACTACCACCGTTGGCCCTGTTGCTCACTTGGTTATACGGTTGGTAGGTCGTGAGCAGCTTATAGACGGTATCACGAATACTATCCTGCTGTTTACCTATTACCACGTTGACATCGTCGTCACGACTAGTAGCATTGGCGAAGTAAGGGTTGAGTGGGTAGCGAATAGTATGATTCCAATCCTTGAATTCATACTCGACCTATATTAACGTTAGTATTTTGTAAGTATTTACGAGGTAGTTTCTACCCTTTATCTAGGAAAAGCAATATGATCACGTACCATTTCAGCAAAGACCGTTTGGGGTACAGGATTGAACTCGTACCGGAAGATGGGATTCGGGATTTCTCCCACAGTCCCGTCCGGATGTGTGACTGAAAGGCGTGGAACTCGCAAAGTAGCCGGTATCACACCTTCGTCTGATTTCAACGGCCTTCTCGCCCAATCCCAGAACGGAAGACGTACTCGAGCCGCGATTTTCAAAGCTTTGTTACGAGCCTGACCGATAGGGTACTCATTGGCAATGTCGACTGCGCGGTCGTGAAGAATCTGCTCGAACAGTGCGAGGTACGGGCGGTGCCATGGGCCAAAGATGCTAGATGAATGGGGACAGTAGCCCATCTTCTCCTGGCCAGGAATGCCTTTGACGTTGTCCCACTGCCCAAAGGGCACTCCATGTATCCCTGTAGATGTTTAGAACAGAGAGTTGTTATCATAATTATGACATTTCTTACCGGCGATTTCATAGTATGAAGTCTTCTGGGTCTGATCCATAGTCTGGAAACGAGCAAACGCAAGTATAAACATATTCCAGAGTTCTGCATCTTGCTGGAGCTCTCGGAGTTCCAGTCGCGGATGCACCCCGGTCCCCTGCACTCCGACAACGCTGAAGTAGCTGTCATCTGGCTTTGGGGCGCCACAAGAAGGCCCGTCAGTGTGGTTGAATGCAGCATGTGTGCTGCTCAGAAAAGAAAGGATGGCAATGGACCCAGCGACAAGAGAAACGAATGATTTCATCGTGGCCAGCCGATAAAGAATGGAAAGATCTTCGAGATCAAAAGAACGAATGTAAAGTGAAAGAATGAGAGCCACTGGGACCAAAAGAGGGACTGAGCAAGCGCCGCTGCGGTGCACATTTGGAAAATGATGCCATCGACTATATAGAAGCCTCGTGAGATTAACGGTCTACGGTGCAACTCTTTCCCCACCCGCACATGTATGACGTCCTAGGCTGTGCAATGGCTACTTTATGCGTTAACGTTTTTCGAAGCTGCTGATTTGACAACTGCCCGGAGGAAGTGTAATCTCCTTGTAGGGATCCTAGAGGGTCACTGTGGGGGAGTATATATGCTCGAAACATGTTTGGTTTCTTCGCATGAATAAACGAGCTCTAATGGCATGGCTGACAGCCCACTTGCAGGGCTGGCTAGACTCAATGGCCGCGGCAGAGGCAATGTTTCCAAGACACTGAAAAGCTTGGGTTGACAGAGGGGTATTTTGGGGTTGCTTGGCTCAGTCTCTATGGCCAGGGTTCAAAGGCTTGCAGGTAGTTGAAGTCTCTTTGGTCTAAGAGAGGCAACAGTGTATGATCGGTTCCAACGATGCCGTATGTTAATATCTTCGGTGGAAGCTACACAAGATGGTTGGTGGTGCCGTCCGGGAGAAAGCGTGGTGTTGCCAACACGGAGATGACAGGTGCTTGGCACGGACCACCATGCCATGGTGAAACGCTTCTGAGGATGGAGTGGGCAGACATTGTAGACATCCCGTACATCCTCGATCTAGTTGGTTGGTTTGACATGGCCTTTACGCTGAGCTATAGGTATGTGTTGATTGCTAACGATAAGGACTGTCACGTCTTGGCAGCTATGCGTTCTTCTCCACAAGCGGTGATGTAACGCTTTTAAGGATAATCAATCCTGGCTGACTTTCTTGATAGATGCGAGGCATCGTATTCTCCAGTTTCTATGTAATGGAGTCTTTGTTGGGAGCGTAGGCGAGAACATGTCTATTGGTAAAACACAATCCGCCCCAAAACGCCCTAATTCACGGCTGTGAGTATAGATCTGCTTTGGTTAATGAAATTGAAAGTTTCACAGCCTGATAGGCTATATCGGCCGCTTCATTCTATCGCATTGCTCGCCTACATCAGTGAAAGTGATTGCTTAACCCGCAATCACTACCAGCACAAACAAGCTTCCAGCCCTGCAGTGCCTATGTATGTTAATTAGACTTCTACCTGCAGACTCAATCTCTCTTCCACCCATCTGCATTTCAACCGCTCCACTCCCGGCTCTTCTGCACGGTAACAACAGCGATTAGTGTTCTCTGTACAGCCGTGGTAGGTACTATTTGTTTCTTCTTTTATTCCGTCTTCTCTTGTTAACGTATGGTAGCAGCCGAGAAACAAAAAGAGTTCCTCATCTCGTCATAGTATTTGTATAAGACACCCCAGACATCCAATTTCAGTGCACATAGCCCGGAAAAGCTACTCAAGAAGGCTGCAGCTGTTAAGACAGGAGGTATCCTTGAGGATTCAAATTTACTCTTCAAAGCCAAAACAGCCAAGTACAAAGCAAAAGTTAAAGCTTCCAACTTATAGCTCAAAACAGATAATGTAGATGTCGCTTCTATAGAAGAAGGCGAATAAACGAACGTAAAGATTGGCAATGACATGAAGCAAGAGGATCGAGACAACGAAGACGACTTTCCAGAGTATATAGCAGGGTACAGAGGCTAAGTACGTACAAAGGCTATCCAGAAACTTACATGGATCCGAGCGGCGGCAGTGTCGGTCTTGATAGACAACGCATCGGTCTCGTTCTTGGCAATCTTGATGAGAAGGACCTTGTCGCTCTATCAGTGAAGCGGCACTATTAGGCCATCCAGGCTCGGAGATACTTGTAAATGGAATTTCTCTTAAATAGCAGCAATCTTTCCTGTACCCTAGAGACTACACCTTCTCCTATCTTTACCTCCTATCACTCGTCGTCCATCACTCGCCATCCATCTCTTACCTCCTCCTGTTTCCGAACACTCATCATTTAACACTGATATAACGACCAAAAAGCGAACAGCAAAGCCTTAACGATGAGATGAAAAAAAATGACAAAAAAAACCAGATCATGCACGACATGCGACTACGGCTTGGAGACACGAGATACACAAACGCTTCATCGACCAGATCGAGAAAGGGCGTACCTACCCAAATCAAGACAATCACCTCAGCATCCGGAAACAAAAATTAAACACTTACATCCCCTTCCGCAACACCACAACTAAATGATCCGCACAACCCACCATCTCCTTCCGCTCCGCACTCATCATCACAACATCTACCCACCTCCTCACCCCCTCCTCATCCAACCCCACAACCCCCTTCGCACCCCCCGCCCCAAGAAACCCCTCACAACCTACCACCCTCTCCACACCCACTTGCTCTCTGAACGCAACAAACTCCTCCATCAAATCCGCAGGCTGCACGTGGAAAGAGCTCGTAGCCGGATTCCGCGTGTACGCTCCAGTTTGCAGGTACTCGCTGTAAAACTGCCATTCAAGAGCGAGTCGCGCGGGTTCACGCGTGGCTAGATCGCGGAGGTGGGCGTAGATGGTTACGTATGCGAGGAGGATATAGCCACCGGGTTTGGCCATGTCGATGCAGTTTTGTATCACGTGGGCTCGGTCTGTGGGGGCGATGAGGTGGTACAGAGGGCCGAGACAGAGCACGATGTCGAAGGAGGCGTGGGAGGTTTTGAGGAGGGGGTGCTGGGTGATGTCGAGGGCGTTTGCGTGGATGATGGCGTTGAGGTTGACATTTTGTTTCTCTGCGTTCTTTCTTGCGATGGCTAGGCTCTTTTCTGATAGGTCGTTTAGGGTGACGAGGTGGCCTTGGGTTGCTAGTGCAATGGCTTTATTATCGCTGTTAGCTACGGTGTGCAGTGGTGCAGTAATAGGCGGTGCAGACCGTATCTGCCCGGTCCACCACCGACGTCTAAGATGTTCGCTCGGTGCAAACCCAGCGTAGACAAGCAGGAATTGGTAATCCGCTTGGTGACTTCGAATTCCAGGCGCCCTTCGTCTAAGCGGTGCTCCTCGGCTTCGGCGTGGGCATCGTACCACTTTTCAACAAGAGTTTTTTCTGTCATCATTTTCTTTACCATTGATAATTAATTGCTTGATAGAATTCACGAAGGTACTCTTGTATTTGCAACGCATTCTTCACGGAACTGCTCAGATAAATCCCTTACTGCGCGATTAAACACCTGGTTGTTGAGGCTTTTATCAGTTGTGGTCGGAATAGCATTCCGATAATTGACGCAAATCGCGCGGCTCATCGTCGATAGGTGGCATCGTAAATACGACACGATAGCATGAGTGGCTTATTGCGGGGGGTGGGGAGAACCAAAAATGTCTGCTGTGAAAAAAAGAAGGCTGGGGTAATTTACGAATAATCAAAATGACAAATTTGTGAAATACTTGCGGCACGGCAGGGGTTTGCGTGACCTATGCATGCACGTAACTGGGTGACAAAATGAAAATTTGGGTTGATTTTTGACAGTGAAAACCAAGTCCCTAGCATTTTTACAAGACAAGCTTAATTCATAATCATCATCACACAAGCCAAGCGGCAAATAAGGAATCCCCCAAGCATATCCAACACCCCAAAACGCCAATTTCTACACGCACCTCCCTCACCTCCGTCCGTAAGCCCCACCTTCATCCCTTCTCTCCGTCCTCTTAAACCCTAAGCTCCCCGCCTTCCTTGCCTTCCTAGTTGCAGTCTCCTCACCCGCTTGATTCTCAGCATTCAGCACCCTCCTAACACCATAAATCATCTCCCGTTCCTGATCGTTATCGTAATGTCTGCCATCAAACTCGCTTTCGCGGCTAAACAACGCCATCATATCCTTCATAGTGAGATTCTTGATGGCTTTACCGCCTTCAATGGCGGCATCGGCGAGCTTGCGTTTTGCTTCCTGGAGCTCGATAATGCGTTCTTCGACCGAGTTGTGGATGCTGAGGCGGTAGACGGTTACGTCGACGGTTTGGTTGAGGCGGTGGACACGGTCGATTGCTTGCTCTTCTACAAACTGTTGCGGAACAGGTGAGTACATTGCAGTTTTAAAAGGGGTTAAGGGAGGATAACGTACTGGGTTCCAGAAGGGCTCCATGATGACTACGCGGCTTGCGGCTGTGAGGTTGAGACCGAGACTACCGCATTTCAAACTACACAGCAGGACGCGTGTGCGCTTATCTTCTCGGAGCCTTTGGAGACTGGCTTCGCGGAGATCGTTGCGCATGCTGCCGTCATAACGGGTGAAGTTGTATCCAGCGCGGTTGAGGAAAGGCTCAATCAGGTCAAGCATCGATGTGAACTGCGAGAAGACAATGACCTTGTGTTCGCCCGTCTCCTTTTCTAGAATGGCCAGAAGCTGGCGAATCTTTGTAGAGGGCGTCAGTTCGGAAGCATTGTACGAGGACTCTGAGGTTTCAGAGTCAGATGCGTCCTCCTCATCGTCTGATCCGGAGCTGGATCCTGACTCATCTGATCCGCTCTCACTCTCAGTTTCGCTATCAGCCTCGTCATCAGAGTCGACTGCAACAGGCTTCTGCGGTCTCTTGGCTAGCTTCTTGCGCGAAACAGGTGCTTCGTCTTCGCTGTCGGTATCATGGACGATGAACGAATCCAAATTACTTCTGCTCTCGTCTGCACTCTCAGATGCATCAGAATCGACAGATGCTAACGTATCGCCACCGCCTTCAGCATTCTCATCGTCAGTCCCACCAGCCTTACCCAAGTCCTCGGCATGCCGTTGGTCTTCTGGCACGAGCCACTCGCCCTCTTCTTCTTCATCGTCACTATCGACTACAAGTCGGCGGTTGCGAGCTGATTTTGCGGCAGCTGCCTTTGGCTTCTCATCCTCATCTTCAGTCTCCTCTTCCTCTTCTTCTTCTTTATCATCATCATCATCAGACTCCACAACAGGTTTTGGTCGACGGTGCTTCTTCTTTTCCTTGCCATGCTTCTGCTTGTGCTTACGATGTTTTTTCTTATCCTTCTTTGTAGACATGTTCAAGTCCTCTTCACATTCAATGCAACGCACTCCACCCGCAGCGGTATTGTCGCTATTCAGATGGTTTTGGCAAATATCGCATCGCTTCGTTGCAACACTGAGTCCGCCAAGCAAGTCTGCAAGATCATCGGCGTCGTCTCTTGCAGAAGGTTTTCGTGGAGTTTGGAAACCAGCCGTAGCACTCGACTTTGAGCCCGTGGTCAAAGCATCCTTGTCAGCTCTGACGTTGCTCTTCGTGAGGTTGGGGTGATCGCATGCCTGTCGCAACCGAAGAAGCAACACCAACGCTCCAATATAATCTTGCTTCTCGCCGCCCATCATCTCGTCAAGACGGGCTTGTGTGCGATCCCGCAGGCGGTCATAGAACATGCGCTCCTTTGCAGTGAACTCTCCTATGACATTCTCGATGTTTCGCGCAACGATATGGAAGGCTGGCTTGTCTTCGCCCTCCTTGGGTTTTCCGCCAAAGTTGAGCGCGCCTTCCTTTCTCAGCACATCCTTGGTACGGCGCTTCATGAAAGCTCGTAGAAAGACTTGGAGACGCTTCATAGCCAGATTACCACGACCATTCTTCATGGGTCCCGCTATTGAATCCTTCCATGACGACAGCGCGCAGTAGGGTTGGATACGGAGGAATCTGATCAAACTCTGCAGTTCATCAATGTTGTTTTGCATTGGCGTACCCGTCAAACACCAGCGATAATGAGAGTTGACAGCATAGCATGCCTTTGTCATCTTGGCGTTCCGATTCTTGATGGTATGTGCCTCGTCTAACATCATCCGGTACCAGTTCACAGCGAAACAACCCTTCTTGAGCCCATCTGGGCCGTCTCCACAAGAAGCATGCTCAGAAGCGAGGACTTGGTATGTTGTAATAACGACATCGTACTGCTTAAGCTTATCGGCTGACTTGGTACGGTTAGGGCCATGGTGGACAAGAACCTTGAGTGCGTGCGACTTTGTAACCTTGGTGTTGATTTCGGATTCCCATTGCTTGATCAATGCGAGGGGAGCGACGACAAGTGTACCCTTGCCTGTGGATTCCGAGATCTTATTCTTCTTGTTCTCTGGTTCAACGCCTTTCTCTGGTCGCGGATTTGACAGTAGGAGCGCAAGAGACTGCACAGTCTTCCCGAGACCCATGTCATCTGCCAGTATACCGCCCTTGGGAAGCTTGGCTTTCTTGTTATGGTTGCCTGTTTCCTTCTCAATCATCCATGCGACTCCATCAACTTGATGTGGCAGGAGTTTGACTTTGAGGCCTTCGACTGTCCCGTCATCCTCTTCTTCTTCCTCGGGTCCGGCTTCAGCTTCAGGCTTGGTCTCTTCTTCGTCTTTGACTTCGAGTGCTTTGAGACGGTCGGCTAGGGAGTCGCCTGGCTACAATTAGCGACAAAATTATGCTACAGAATGCTTAACGTCACATACCAGCCTTATCCTCTTGCTGCTTCTTCGTCTTACGAAGACGCATCCTTGGGATCTTCTCATTGTCTTCATCAAACGCTCCCTCTAACAGCGCCTTGATGTTTTCGCTTGCCGCACCGGAGTCGACATATGCATACATGTCGGGTTCACCGAAGCGACTTCCCTCTTTGCGAATAACCGCATCCGGATCAAAGTCATCTTCATCATCCAGTATGACCGTCTGACGTGCCTCCTGCAGCGGATTGTGTGTACCCTTGTTCAATGGCTGAAAGTCATCAGCATGGCCCATGGACGAGTATACAGGCCGCGGGGCTGCATGAGTAGTCTTCGCCGGAGCGTTGTAGGGTCTGGAAATGGGTACAGGGCCACCTTGGGATGGCCGTGGCTGGAAGCTCGAAGCAGGGATCTCAAAGACATCGGAATCGGTAGATGCTGTGCTGTAACGCGATCCCGATTGTGACGACGGGACCTTGAATGGGCGATTGAGGGTGTCTATACTTGACTGCGAGGTCTGAGATGGTCTTGATGGACCCGAATATTGTGAAGGTAGTTTAGTCGTCTGACTGTGTTCTGGTCGCATCTGCCCTGGCTTGGGCTTGTTGAAGAGATGTGAAAACTGATCGCTGCGGTCTTTCTTTAGTGGGTTACGCATGGGGCTAGTCTCTCCAAACTTGGGCTGAGAGTTCTTGAGGTCATTCAGAGGCTTTGGCGGGGGGACCGCTCCATCGCGGGGAGGATGAGCCATCGGAGGCTCTCGTTCTCGCACCATCTTCAACCTGGCCTGGAGAGTTTCTCGCTGCTGTGCGTGGGTTGGCGGACTCTCAATGTCGTCGAATAGATTGCTTGAGTCGCCGAGCAGAGAAGTGGACTGCTCGTGGGGGATATCGCTATCGTCGGAGAAGCCAGGCGTAGTAGGGGTGGTAGGGGCTTTGAAGACGGGCTTTTTGGCGGTGGAGAAGGTGTCGAGTGGTCGGAAAGGCGCACGGTGTTTGCGCGGACTGCCGGTCATGAACTAGCCCAGGCTGCAGCCCTTGGAGACAAATGTATAATTACTATGTGTGTGGATGTATGTTTCTATCCACAAGTGGTTTGGCGGGGTTGTTGACAAGATTGCCCGTAACCAACAAACCCCTCGCAGCCTGACTGGGCTTGGCGTGTGTTGCCGGGGCACACCGCGACCCACCCAATTACACGTGGGGGCGCGTCCACCATGTCACGCTGTCACGAGATCCGCTAGGTCACGGTCCATTCATTCCATTACTACCTACGTACATACCCCAATGCCTCCACGTCTACAAACGTCACATACATCAAATATACATTACTTAATTCCTGCTTTCCTCTTCATCTCGTTCAGTCCTGGCTATTGCACTGCTCTGGCCCCGACATGGAGATCCCCGTGTAGACCAGATGATCCTGATTAATGAACCCCACCGCTTTCCGCCTAATACAATCCTCCGCCTCCTGACCAAAACAGCGAAACGTTGTCTGAGGACTCTGCGTGCCACCCACAGGCGTGGTATCTTCCTGGTAAATCTCTGTGCGCGTATGCTGGAATCCCATGGGCTCAAACGGTAGATTCGGCACGCCGTCAATTCCATGCGTGATACGCAGCAACTCGCCCAAGTTGTTGTCGTCCGCACCAGCCAGGCGGTCGGTGAAATCGGCATATGCTGGGTTTCCCACGCGCAGCGATCCCAAGGTGTATGCTTTTGCAATGGGAACATTATTAGCCCGGAGATCCGTATAGGCAAGACTGGCTAGTCCACCGCCGAGACTGTGGCCTACGATGATTGTCTTGTAACCCGGCAATTTCGCATTCAAGTCCGCCAGCGCAGCTATGAGATCAGGTCGCACAGAGCTCCAGGCTCGGAGGAGACCCCCATGGACCTGGCAATCGGTGCAGCCCGGGGCGCTGGTCAAGGGCTTCATGAAATAAGCAAAGTCGGTAATGAAATCCTGGAGCGAGGCAGAGCCCGGAAAGGACACGATCAGTTCTTTTGCCGCGCTGTCTTGGAATACGGCGACTTGGGTTGAAGTGATGATTGAGTCTATTGTTCGGACGAGAACGGAGTGGAAAGGTGGACTAGGGCATTTTCCTAGGTTATAGGTAAAGGTTGAAAGAGAAGCTACAGCGAACCGCGTGTAGCGTTGAAGAACGGGCCAGAGTTCTGGCTGGACTATTGCTTACAGTTAGCAGCAAAAAATATACATGGATTGTATGGTTTTGATTCCTGACTTACTGAGCTGTCGCGGTCTGGTCTGGCGAGTTGTTAGTTCAGAGGCTGGCGTGGGGGCCGCCTGGATTAGAGGTGCTGTAAGAGCTGCGAGGACGATTACTGGGAGCTTCATGATGGATGTGTCAGAGACGAAACGCAAAGTGAACGAACGTAGCAAGTGATCCAGATAAGAATCGTGGTTCCCCTTGGAGGAGGCATCCTTTTACCTTTTGTTTTTCAGATTTACAGTTCCTTCAGCCAGGTCCGTACGCAATCTGGATCATAAGAATGCCGGGTAAGTGTGGCCGTATCCGATGGACATGAATCTCACCGCAGATCTACATTGTCAGCCACTCGTAAAGAATTATTCTTCGGTTTAGAGCAAGGGAAGAGTACGGCATAGTGCCGGCAAAACCAGGCGCTAAGAGACGCTAGCATCAAGCAAGTGAACGTTTGCGCTCTCCTTTCGGTCAAGAATCGGTTCTGTAAACGCCACAATATTCCATTTGTGGAGAGATTGCATCCGTATCGATCTTGTCTAGGCCATGGCCACGGCCGCCACCAGACTTATAATCCGGATCGCTCGAGCCAAATCGATCAAAGAACCCCGTATCATCAGCTGCATAGTAAATCCCCCCACGCTTGCTTTGGTACTAAAATTCCCGCTGTTCGTAAAAGAATTTGCGTCCAGAAAGCTTCTCGGTCTTGCGCAGTGGACAAAGACCCTAGTATGCTTACCGAGACTCGCACGGGTTACAAAACGGCCGATCCAACGGCCAGATCCTTTGTAGTCAAGATAAGGATTGACTCGTGTTTCTCCTCAATAATAGGGAGAATACGAGTTCTGCCCGATGTGACGTGGATTTAAAATTGCATGACGCAACAAACAGTATAGTTTCTGGCATGAAATACCATGCGGGACACTCACAAGAGTTGAAGATACATTACATTACTGCTAGGCAACAAATAATCTTGTATATGGGATTGAAATAGAGAAAAAATATTGAGAAAAAGAGCACTGAGGCCCTTCTTACCCTAGTCTGTCCCTACTCCGGCCTTCGTCTCGCCTCGTGACGAGAAACCACAAGCTGCTGATCCAGCAAAGTACTACTCCCAACCAAGTCTGTGCAGGGGCCTTGAAGAGGGAAATGGCCACGAGCTGGAAGGCACTCCTGGGGACGGCTACAAAGGTTGCCGTGAGAGGAGATGTCGCCTTAACTAGCAGTAGTGTACTTGAGAAGACAGCCCACGAGCCCATGCCTCCAAACAGCATCATGGCCCAGAAAAACGGAACATCGAGGAACGGGATATTGTACCATATGTGTGGTACCTCGCCAGAAATAATGACAATCGGTGTAAGTATCATGAGAGAGACAAGCGAAGTGTAGTGCAGTGTGCGATAAAATGCGCGGGTTTCTTCTCGGTTACCCGACTCTTCCGAGCCGGTGGGGTATCCTGTAAGCACATCGCCCGAAGGCACAAGATTTGCAACCATGGTGCGGTACGTGCGGAGAAGGAGGATGGGGTAGAGGGCAACGAAGCCAGAAGAGAAGACGCCGGCGACGACCGACTCCCAAGTCACACGGACATCGGGGCGGTAAGAGGCGAAGAAGAGGTTGAGGGTCGCAATGAGGGCGGAAGAGAGGGCACTGCCGGTAATGTTTTCTTTCTGCAGAACACAAGCGAAGATAATTGCAAGTGGAGTTATACCGATGCGAGCAAGCTGGTAGGTAGGAAGTGGTGCATATCTGATGAGTGTTAGTGGTCGAGATCAAAATGAGCGGACAAGGGCACGTACGCGAATGAGTAGTTACTGAGAAGCACCCTGGCCACAAAGACCACCGCGAGGGGCAGCACCTGCTTGGCGATTTGGAGATCAAACTCAAACAGCCCGCCACCTGCAATGCCTCCCGAGCCATTTGAGAGCCAGCGAGCAAAGGCGGAGATGCCGGGTTTTCTGCCCCCTCGATATGCTCCTCCTTGCGGAGCGGCCGGCTGTGATGGCGGTACAGCAGCGCCAAAGCCAATGAAGCGCAGGGGATTGCTGGAGAAGCGCAATAGGCTTGAGACGAGGATGAGGAGAAGGTGAGTGATGATGAGTTGTGCGTAGGATTGGGTCAGGGGAAAGGGGAATCTGGCTTGATTTAGCATGTGCCATAAGCAACAATCCGGGTGAATCCTTACTTGTAGACGCCCGTGAGCATGATGAAGCAGTTCATGAGGAGCAGGCCAAAGCTGCACCCGCCGACCCAGAAGACCAGCAGTCCAACCCAGATCTGCCAGCCCTTCCACGTGCCAAAAAAGAAGGCCCCCGGGCCACCCTGCTGCCAGAAGCCACGAAAAGCATGGCCTCCACTCCCGACGTCGCTGCTGACTAGCGGCCGTATGCTGCTCGCGGGCTCGAAGTCGTCGTCTTCCTCGTCTTCGCTCTGTGCGGCGCTGCGATTGCGCGGATATGGGCTGTTGCTGCGGCTGCCTACGTCTATGAGGGGCACGGGCGGCTGCAGCTCCGACTGCGAGTTGTGCGCAGAGTGGCTCCGCCTCGAGGACTCCATTTGGGCGTAAAATTCGACGTCGGAATGGTCGGTGTCGTCTATGGAGCTGATGCTGTTGTAGCGTTGGTGTGCGTTGCTGTCCTTTCTCTTTTTGGCCCTGGGAAGCTGGATGGGGCCGCGCGAAAGATTGCTGAGAAAATCGAGGGGCTTGCGGAATGTGTTCTGGGTAGCCCTGGTGAATGCACGCGACGAATTCATCGTGACGGCTTCATCGTGAGGATCAAAGGGAGCAACTGCATGCTGACGACGTCTGTAAGTCTGCAAAAGTTGAGCACAGGCAGGGACGAGGCCGGCGCTGGCAACCTGGACCCTGGCCTAGCCTAGGGGGCATGGTGGGTCCACATCGACTACTATTACGGTACTCTAACGTCTCTCACATCACCATCTTCATTAGCATCGACATTGCCGTTGACATGAACACCAACACCACGCTCCTGCAGTCCAATACCGTCCACTCAACACTTGATGGCTGCCAGCTCAGTCAAAGAATTGATTGCGTTGAGAGATTGTTCCGCTGACCCATGACGAGGTCTCAAAGGCTGTCTCGTCAAGCGCTCCAACGAAGCATTCGAGTATGTTCATGATTAAAAGAAACCTCCCTTTCGCATATCATACGAAGAGTGGGAGGCTGAGGGGGAGGAGGGTTTTGCTTCCATGAATGACTGGTACTCCCCAAACTGGCCTCAGACGTTGCACTGTGTGGACCACGACTTGAGACAACGGGCAGCAGCCATCGGCTTGGGAGGCAGCGCAATATCGGTACTCATGGCGCAATCGACGTTGCTGTTTGCTCATCCCATAGCTTCGACTGTGCATCGTTTATAGATGTCATCAGACTCACATGTAATGCCCAGAAATCAGGATCGATTGCGACATCCAAAACGATAGATACATGATGAATGCGGAAGGTAGACATATGCTGCCAATGTTGTAAGCGCCTTGTTCTTCCTTTCTGGGGCTGGCTAATGCCAACACTGCCGTCGCTGTACGCGCTCTACTGAGCAAGCAAACCACATGCAGCATCTCTTTTGTCCAGCGCCAAAGGATCCAGAACCCCAGAGCAGGACAGGAAGGAGATGCAAGGCTGATCCGCAGCAAGGAACAGGCGCACCTAGCCGTATTCCGTGGGAGGGTGGGGGTGGGGCTGACAAGATGATAACGGGCCTATTTTTGTAGTAAGGAAAGCCATTGCTTCTCTCAAGGTTTATCGCCGTCGTATGCAAGTCTTGGAGCTGCGAAGTAGGGTTGCATTCTTCCGTTTGTCTGTGATCGTCAGAAGTCATTGCCCACTCAAGTCAAATGGCCGTCTATTGAATTTGTTGGCTGGCTGATGTGGTTATGCAGCTTCTTCGTCCATGATTCTCAGTGCATGGGACGGGCCGCCTGCTGTGAGGCTGCTTATGTTGCAGTACGTACCTTGGACTAATTTCTCACGTTGAGATCACTTCCAGCCACTAGCCCATGACTCGCAGCAAAACAAGAGTATGTTCCTGAACGAGCCCTGAACTCTTACCCCGCAGTGTATGTCCGAACACTCCGCCGTTCTTGTCGATAGTCGTACTATTGAAAAAAGCATGGTTCTCGCATGGTAGAACTCGGAATCTGATCGAGTGAATCCTTAGCCTTCACTATCTTGTACACAAGCCTATCAGGAAGGTGGCCCAAAGAGTCGGGCGCAGTGTTGGGAAAAGAGTCTATTGAATGCTTGGGACGAATCAAGCTGCGTAAGTGCTCGCATCAGCCACTACACCATTACCTGTACCTGCATCCTATTCTATACAGTTAGGTACTCCCGTTCTTTAGGAAAGTAGGTCGAGTAGGTCGGCTTGGAGCGGATCCACGCCCACCCCAGGTTATGCAGCTGACTATACTATGCAGCAATACAACGGCGAAGCTGAACCGACATAAGCGCTGAGTACGATTACGTGCTTGGCATTGGCGGACGTTGGACAGCCAGGGAAGGTCCTTCAAGCCAAATGTGTGGATCGCCGCAGGGTCTTAGATATGAGTAGATCACGGGAGATCCTACACCGGCCACTAAAACATGAGTGCCAGCGACTAGCACGCCAGTGTACCGCTCACAAGCCCTTTGCCCGGTGTTTGCTGACCGCACGTTGGAATTCCAAAGTCTCGGAGGCATCCATCACAGAGAACAGGGGGCCAGGGCAAATCTTCTTCTTCCGCATGGATCCGTCACGAGGCTGTTGTACATGGTAGAACAACGGTATCAGTCTGCTTGCCTCTGCAGTGCGTAAGATGCGGGGTGGTTGACCACAGACACCAGTTCGATGCGCAACTCCGGGTTGAACATGGGTGGCTTATTGACAAGCCGGTAGGCTACCGCAGAGGCGGCGTTACTTGCATGGCGCCAACTGACTTGAATTACAGCCTACTGCAGTTATGTGCTCCATGGATATGCATATTGCTGCATGTTAAGCGGGCTTGAATCAGAAAAATCGCCATTGTGTAAGAACTCAAAGATATGACTATACACGCCCTGGTCGGGGGGGGGCGAAGATCAGAAAGTAGGCTTGCTGGAGTGTCGAGTTGACGTCGGAGGGTAGTGCAGTGACGGGTCCAAAGGCCGAAAAGTTACCCAAGCCGGACACAAAACACGTGCGCGTCGTCCCTAAGTAAGTGCCAGGAGCTCGGCGCCGACATTGTTCCGCATCGTGCCGTCATGGCCATCTCTCCTACACCTACCTCTCCATCTCTACACCCTTTGCCCTATTCAGCCTTACCAGCGACAAACACAGGTTACAGGTCGCTCTGGTCATCGGAGTATTTTACGCAACAGGCAGGAGGAGCTTGGCAAAAGTGAACAGTCCCCGGAGGCGTCGTGATCGACACCATGAACTGACACCATCTCGCCCAAAACTCGCGCATGTCTGGGCAGTGGGCAAGGCTTGAAGCACCATGACTCCGATGCACTCTTCCGAAATGCTTCCTCCAGCTCCACGATGAATGTTCCTGTCAAGGTGCACCCCTGCGATGCAACACAACGGACCCAGCCTGCACACCAGGCGGGTGTCCGGAATGCCAAACCATATCTGCGCGCCATCCTGATCATCATCTTTTACCTCGATACAGCCACTGCCTGCTGTATCTTGCCTCGTTGGTAGCACTCGCGCTCAATCCACTGCCGCCTTATCTGCCATGTCACTAAGGGTTGGGCTGGGTATATCGGCATGCATCGTGCTAGTTCCCAAAGAAGGAGGTGGTTTCTGCACTTGTGTGCTTTTAAGCTTAATGCTAAGCGGGTCTTGGATGGTCAGCGGACAAAGACGATATGGCTGCACACGACACCAATCGAATCCCCCACCACAACAAGTGGCCCAGAAATTCGATGTGAATGTGCCATCGTCCTCAACATCCTGCCCGAAGCTTCTGTCATTCGTTCGCTGCCTATCATTGGAGCGGTCATGTGAATGTCTTCACCCCCTGTGGGTAGGGCTCCACCGATTATGTGCTCACACATGATGCTTCTCTGCGCGTCAAGCTCTTCTAGAGTCCTATTGATCTTGTAGGTTTTGCTAGCCGTCACGTTATTTAAAATCATCGGCTTTTTCTTTTCGTCGAGCACTGTCCAGATGTCTTCACATAGGCATTTGGATGTCTACCATTGTGTCAACAGGGCGGCTGATTGCCCGATCACTTTTGGTCTTGTTCTAAGGATAAAAGGTACACAACTATAAACGGCATGTTCCATCGCGACATGTGCAGCTCTGCCAGACAACCTTACCAAATTTTGTGGATCCTGAGCTAGCAGACAGAGTCGCAGTTCACTACTTCGAGAATCCCTGGTGACAATACTGCACGGAGCATGTTCATTTGACAGCCGTCTTGCCACTAAGCCACTACTCGTCGCTTCGCTCCGTTATCTGGATTTCGGCAAGGGTTGTTGCGAGTGTAGATCGATTCATCCCACGGGCCTTTTACGTTGAATCTCTACGTGCACTTATTCAGATCCCTAAACAAGTAAGCAATATTAATATAATATGCATCGTGCCAAGACCCGACGTCTGACCTTCTACTAGCAGCCTTTCCTCCTTCTCCTAGACGCCCCGCCCACTCTGCCACTGGTACTGTGGGTGCTTGGAAGCGAGTAGTGCCGGAATCACATGCTGTATCACCTCCCAAACTAGGCATCAAAGGTCTACATACGCCATTCTGTGCCGCTTTGGCGACTGGCAACTCTACGCGCCATGGTGTAGGTACGCCGGCTCTGTACGCGATTGTCACATCGGTAATTGCTAGTCCTGATTGGAAGGTGTATTTGCCTCCTGTCATGTCATCCCAACCAAAGGCTACTGAGTGCGTCTATATAAGAGGGACAGCATGCCTTGTTGAAACATCAGGCAACGAGCACAGCAGTATCCAGCCCATCAACGGCAGCACTCATCAACCTCCACTCTATCAGCATCGTTCTTCGATCATTCTTCAACATGAAGCTCTCACTTCTCCTCGCTCTTCTGCCAGTGGCTCTTGCCCTTCCTGCGCCAGTCATCGTTCCCCGTGCTGGTACTCCCATCCCAGGAAGGTACATTGTCAAGCTCAAGAACCAGAACCTTGAGAACCTCATCAACAATGCTTTGAAGGTTCTCAAGAAGGACCCCTCTCATGTCTACAAGTTCGGTGGCTTCGGTGGTTTTGCCGCTGATATTACTGATGACATTGTTGAGCTGCTCCGCAACCTCCCCGGTGTAAGCAATGGATTATCCAACATTACCAGTCGAAACGCTAACAAGGAACACACAGGTCGACTACATCGAGCAGGATGCCGTTGTCCAGGCCAACCTTGGTGTCGAGGTTGAGCTCGAGAAGAAGGCTTACACCACCCAGTCCTCTGCTCCTTGGGGCCTCGCCCGTATCTCCAGCCAGAGCCGCGGCACCACCTCGTACACCTACGACACCAGCGGTGGTGAAGGCACCTGCGCTTACATCATCGACACTGGTATCCAGGTCAACCACCCAGAGTTCGAGGGCCGTGCCACTTGGCTCGCCAACTACGCTGATAGCTCAAACACTGACGGCAACGGTAATACATACTCATGCTAAATAGATGACCAGTAGACTGACAATCTTTAGGCCACGGCACCCACGTTGCTGGTACCATCGGTTCCAAGACTTACGGAGTAGCCAAGAAGACTCAGCTGTACGCTGTTAAGGTCCTCAATGCCAGCGGCTCGGTACGTAGAGACATTCCTCTTGTTGAGATATGCTGCTAACTATATCAAGGGCACCAACTCTGGTGTTATTGCCGGTATCAACTTTGTTGCCACCGATGCCACGACCCGCAGCTGCCCCAACGGTGCCGTTGCCAACATGTCTCTTGGTGGCAGCCGCTCCACCGCCGTCAACTCTGCTGCTGCCAACGCTGTTACTGCTGGTGTCTTCTTTGCTGTTGCTGCTGGTAACTCCGCAGCAAACGCTGCCAACTACTCTCCCGCATCCGAGCCCACCGTCTACACCGTCGGTGCTACCGACAGCTCTGACCGCCTGGCTACCTTCTCCAACTACGGCACATCCGTCGACATCCTTGCCCCTGGTGTCTCTATCCTCTCCACCTGGATCGGCAGCAGCACTGTAAGTTACCCCCAAAAAATACTCATCACCTTGTCTTTCATGCGGCTAACAATAGAATAGAACACTATCTCTGGTACATCCATGGCTTCCCCCCACGTTGCTGGTCTCGGTGCCTACATCTTGGCGCTTGAGGGCAAGAAGACCCCTGCTGCTCTCTCTTCCCGCCTCACTGCTCTCTCTCTCAAGAGCAAGATCACCGGTCTTCCCTCCGGCACCGTCAACAACCTTGCCTTCAACGGCAACCCCAGCGCTTCCTAAGCAGATTCTGAGCAGGTTCTAAGCAGGTCGAGATGACGAGATCCCCTCTCTCTCCCTCTCTCCTTTGTGCTCTTTTTCCATGACGACTGTATATATGATGATTGGGTTTTGCATGGGCTTTTGGGCTTGTTGCACCGATGGTTTTGGAGGAGATGGCATAAATGAGATTGAATAAACGATGTTGTGTGAGATTTTATTTGATGCATTCTGTGATTTTGAATCCTCTTTCCTGAAACACACATTTTGAATTTCCACAAAGCGAATATTAACATCTAGTACAAAGAAAAATCCTTCCTCCCCGGCGTATCCCCTCAGAACCGACCCCCATCCGATCCCCGTACCCGCTCTACCACCCCTCACATCGCAAGGAAATTCTACAATACAGATCCCTACCTCTTTCAATAACGCGCATCCTTTCCCCAACCGATACCTCGCTAATCTACCCACACCCCCCTTGCCCACCGCCCGGGTAAAATACCAAGGCTAATATATCAATCTACTCACGCACGAGCCAGTGCTTGTACTTAACCCCGGATATAACACAAGCCGAGACTGTCTTATTTCCACCTACGCACGGCGAAGTACGGCGGGTAGAATAGATGACACTGGGGCGTGTGATGGATTGAGCGGATAGGATAAGGAGCATGGTAAGGGGGGTGGGGGGTCTAGTTTTTTAGTTTGTTTATTGAGCTGGTGCTACACGGATACGAAGTTTGGTGGCGGGGAAGAGAAGAAAAGTGAGCTAGGCTGGGCTGTTGTGCTGTTGTGCTGTTCCGGGGGAGGGGAGGGGGGAATTCCCTGGTCCATGGGGGTGGTGGGTTCGGGTTGCGAGTGTGTGTGGTACGAGGCGGTTGTGTCCGCGAATGGAGGCGCGGAAAGCTTCAATGTTAGGGTGAGGCGCGGTCAGGGATGTTTTTTTGGGTGACAGTAGGGGGAGGTGGGTGGTCGGCTGCTGTTGGGTAAATTGCACAGCGTGAGAGGTTTCAGGGTGGGACTGGTAGGATTGACGGGGGTTTCTTGGACAAAGGAAACTCGTGGCTGGACTGATTTGTGGAGATGACTCTTGATAGCCCGGGGGATGATGTTCTGGATTATTCTTTGTTCCTTCTATGATGAGTATATTGAGAGGTATTGACACGGTAGCTGGGTATTGGGTCAGGTGGCTTTACTATGCCGCAGCCACAGGTAGGTTGTGCCGCATCTGCACGTGTCCGTTGAACTTTCAAATCGATATCGCTTGTTTTTGGTGATGGTTTGCCCCCTTTTCATGCACTGTAGATACCCCATGAGTCGAAAGATACAGCTTTTACTGCTCTGTTGGAAGCTTGAAACTCTTTGGATGATGAAAGGCTTTCCTGTAACCCAAATGAAATTCAGAGCACATGGCACTAGTATGGAGTCCTATTCCATCACTCCAACTGTCAACAACATGCCACGCCGTTTTTGTCCACCCTGAAAGAAACACTGCAGCGACTACGGCATGAAACATTGGTCCGAGTAAGGTTGCACTGCATATGTACAGTCCTATCACCTTTTGACTCTCACGGACTGTGTGCTTGAATGCCACAGGAACTGTTCCTCTTTAGTAAATAACGGCCTGTACAACATGTATATTTATCAGCAGCACTGCCTTTCCAGCAGATAGATCAGAGCTTACAATACTGATCAATCCCTCACTTTGTTTCAACTCAACATACTATCATTGAGTAAATTTCTACGAAATCTTTCTGCAAGAATGTACTTCCTCCTGTTATCCTTGCTTGCTTCACTTGCAACCGCTACGCCATTAGTCAAAGTACCTCGTCGTAGCAATGCCATCGCCAATAAGTGGATTGTAAAGCTCAAGGATAACGTCGCTACGATGGCCGTCGATGGCGTGAAATCAGCTCTTTCCACCGAGCCCGACTACCAGTATTCGATGCCTGGCTTTCGAGGGTTCGCAGGAACTCTATCAGACGAGGAGGTGGCGCTGTTACAAGTTTCTGATGAAGTAAGAAACTGGCAACACACTTTTGAACTTTCTGTGCTGATTTATATAGATCGAGTATATTCAGCAAGATGCTGAGGTTTACACGACGGCACTTGTCAAACAGTTGAATGCTACATGGGGAATATCCCGCATCTCGCATACAAAGCCTAGAGAAACGACGTATCTCTATGATTCCAGTGCAGGAGAGGGAACCTGTGCGTATGTTTTATCTGCCAACAGGTATTTCCTGGGTATCACTGACAGATTTCGAAGCTACGTGATTGATACAGGCGTCGATATTACGCATCCTGAGTTCCAAGGACGTAGGTGATGGCGCTCAAATGCAAGGCTTATGCACTGACTTAGTAACAGGCGCCTTCTTTCTGGCAGACCTCACTCATGAAGGTACTTTCATAGACGGCTTTGGTCACGGAACGCACGTCGCTGGAACGATTGGATCTGCCACCTGGGGCATAGCAAAGAAAACTACAATCTTTGCTGTGCGAGTACTCGACTCAAATGGCTGGGGTACAAACTCCGATGTAATTGCGGGTCTGGAGTTCATCTTGCGAGATGCGAGAGAGCGTAAGGGAACGGATCAGTGTCGCAATGGCTTTGTTGTCAATATCAGCTTAGGAAGTGAAAAGCTTCCAGCGCTGAATGATGCTGTAAGTTGCTCTTGTCAAGTTATTGTTTGTCTGAATGCTAATTCAGATGCAAGGCCGCAGCTATGGTTGCGGAGGATATCTTTCTAGGAGTCGCAGCAGGCAACGACGGCGTACCGGCTGATGACTTCTCTCCAGGATCTGAGCCTTCGGTCTGCACTGTAGGCGCAACGGCGGCCAACGACACGCTTGCCTCATGGTCCAATCATGGCCCTCGGATCGATGTTCTGGCTCCCGGCTTAGGCATCACTAGCACTCTTCCCAACGGTGTGGTTGCCTCGTTTTCGGGTACAAGTATGGCAGCTCCCCATGTTGTTGGCCTTGCAGCGTATTTGCTTGGGCTCGGATCGCCATCAAAGGATCTCTGTGGTACAATTGCTGCGTTGGCGATCAAAAATGCGATCGATCAAGATACGCTTCCAAAAGGGACACCCAACCTGTTGGCGTTCAATGGCGCAAATGCTAGCCAGAAGCATACGAAGCATCTGTAGATGTGTTTGGAAGAAGTAAAGAAGTACAGGATTATTCGGACATCACCATACTTAGCGATCTGGGATATTCCTTGTCTATGAATGCAGGTATCAACATCATGGCCATAGATATCGCTCAGATGCGCATGCCTGTCTGATCGATAATTCTCGAAGACACTAGTACCACAGCCACAATGCTATATTGCCGATGGACGCTTATCCCTAAATAATGATACAGCACAAGTAATCAGCTTGCAGATCGTTGCGTGAAATTCATTCTTGTCGCTGATAGGGCCTGACGTGAGACGCACCGGCAAACGGCCTATCACGCGATACAGCAATAAATTCTTCGAACTCCATGGCTATGCCAATACTTGTGCATGCAAACCGTAAATGTGAGAGCCGAGCCTTGTAAGGGTGATGTCGCCCAAGCAAGTATCGCCGATCGGAACTTTCCCAACCCTGCTGGCATAGCGCGATCGACCAACCACCAGCAATCACACGAGGGAATTGCGGGGTAGGGGTATGCAATAACAGGCTAGGCCAACCTGCACACGCGACTTTTCTCCAAGACCCAAGCATCCCAGCTTGATTGCCTCTTATACTTGATCCTACTATCTGTTAATCATTACAGGCGCGTGGCTCTCCTTCAATCGCACGGCACTCGTCACCGCGGAACCACACGTCATGGCGTCATACTTTGATCTCCCGCCACAGAAAGTGGCAGCACCAGCATGTATGGAGCAGATGCCTCAAGAACAACGGAAACAGTTGGGCCGCACTAGCAGCCTGATGTCCCCAGCTGTCGCTCAGATCCTTGAAGGGCTAGGAGATGACCACTCAAGTAGCAGCGAGGAAGACTCTGGCCTATCAGACAATCAAGAGAAGAGACATCCCAAATCGCAATCCAAGAAGGACACCAGCGCCCAGAAAATACAACAAAAGAAGCAAAATTTCACTTCAGCTCAAGCACCGCGGCCATCCTCTCTCTCCCCGAACAGAAGCAGAAGTCGCTCCAGGTCGGCAACCAGAAAAGTTTCCAATATGCCGTCATCTGCAGATGCCAACGGAGCCAGTTCCGATAAACCTAAAAATAAACAACCACACATGGCTCGCTTTCATTCTCTCCGTAGTATTCTTTTCCAGCAGAAGATCGAGGACCGGTTAAGGACGGCTACTGAAGAAGATTGCAAGAAGGAGGCCAGTGCTGCGGAGACGTGGCAAAAACAACACAAAGAGCGCCAAATGCATCATCCAACAACGCCCGAAAAACATGCGCAAGCGAAGAGTGGGATTGGAAGTAGGCTTAAGATGACGTTGCGTAGGATGACAACCAAGGACGTAGGGGGAATGGAGAAGATTAAGGAAGATGGGGCGCCAGTTGAATTCAAAGATCGTCCATCGACTCTTTCCTCGGAAAATGAAGAGAAACAACCGGAATCAAAGAAATCGAACGAGAATGATGACGCCAGCATTAAGGATATCGATGTCGACGACCTTGTTCGATGGGTTAGCCGGCGCGGTTCGTCTGGTGAGGTACAGAAAGATGACATTGTAGAGAGCGCCAAGGACGAGAGTGTCCTTGGTCATTCCGATATTGAAGACCTCGTTCACCATGCAAGAAGGAAATCGTCCACGAAAGACGCCCAGGAAGCTAGCGATGAACATCTAGGATATAGCGACGCGTCCACGGAGCCGGATACTGATCTTTCGTCGGACGAGGAAGAGAATGCAGATGACCTTGTACGCTGGATATCGCGTCGTGAAGGATCCGAAGCCGGCCCAGTGAAGCGAAACCTGCAACGAGAAGAGCTGGATTCCGACGTGGAAGAACATTACGACTCGGACGTCCCAGAATTAGGCAGATGGTATAAACGCCACGATGCCACCAGTGGAGAATCGGCAGCCACAACCCCGATCAAAGAAACATTTGACCTGCAGCAAATAGAAGACGAAGAAGAAAACCGCGGCCGACCTCGAAGCCGCGAATTACCCGAATCACCTACCCAAGAGAAAACCCACCTTTCCTCCTCCGACGTCGACGAGCTCATCCGCTGGGTAAGCAGCAAAAACCTCAAACGCCACGACACGCCCCTTTCCCAAGCGCAAACCCAGACCGGGACTCTAGACAGCGCTCAAGACGAAAAGAAACAAGCTGTAGGAATGAGTCTGGACCAAGGAAGTCTATCCCACCGCGACGTCCAAGACTTGATCGAGCACGCACGCAAAACAAGCGCAACCGCAGATGATACCGCTCCAGACGCTTCCGGCATCGAGCGCGGCGACCTGAAAAACATGCACCGTGAGAATACTCCGCCAACTCGCGATCCGCAGCTCGAATTAGAGGGGAAAAGAGAGGATATCAGAAACAAAGAGAAGGAAGAACAGCTTGGTATGAGTTTGCAAGATGCTAGTTTAAGCCATGGCGATATCGAGGATTTGCTCGCGCATGTGAGGAGCAAGTAATGTGGAAAAGTAAGATTTCATGTGGGGAAGTTGAAGCTTTTTGGAGGAGGGGTGGGTGGGTTGCGGGAGCCCCCGGGGACGCCAAGTGGGGGTCGCTATTCGGGGATAGTAGCGGGTTTGGGAAGGTGGCGGGCTACGACTATAATGGTAATGTAAGTATATGTGCGTGAAATGGGAAAGGAGTTTTTTTTTTGTGTGTGTGTGTGTGTGGATTTGTTGATTGAAAGCATGTGTAGTATTTCTTGCTTTGAGCGATTTTAGGAGGGGGGGAATAGATGTGTAGCTTAGTAATGTGTAATGTAGTTCATAGAAAAGTCCTTAGCATATTAAATCCAGTGGCTTTTTTACATTTGTGTTTTAGATTACAACATAGAACGAGTAGTAAGGAAAACATGGCTACTCATACACTGATCTATCGAAGCCGAAAAGAAAAAAGACTTGAATGTTGCAGCATAGCTTTTTTTTTCGCGATGCCAACACATCTACTCCATGGACGCCTGGGAAAAAAAGAAAAAGACCTATGACGGGCTCTAAGATATAACAAAACGAAAGCAAGTGTTCTCAACCCAGCGTAAGCGCATCAACCCCTTCAAACTGCAACCGTCTAAACATACTCCTAATAGTCCCACAATTCTTATCCCGCTCCTCATCCCTCGGCCTCATCTCCGTTCTCATCTTGCCGAGCATATTCGTTCCATCGCCGCGATGTCCGCCCTCCTTGATGTTCGTAAAGAACATGCGTCGGCCCGTCTGATCGAGGGGCTCCCACTTGGCAATGCTGACATCCTTACGGGGAATAACTTGGTGCTCGCGGTTCGGATCGAGGAACTTGACGAACGAGATGAAGTAGTCTGAGATTTCGTTTTGGCGGCGGACCATGACTTGGCCGACGGTGCCGGCGTGTTTGGTGCCGAAGCCGTTTTCAATGTCGACGCCCCACATGACGTCCCATTGGTATTGGTAGGTGGGGACGTCGGATGGGTTGAAGCGCGAGATGGCGTTGGAGGCGAGGTAAGTTGGGCAGATGTAACGGATGTCGCCTTGGGCTTTGGCGACGGCGTCCCACCACTTGCCACTGTCAGGCCAGTGGCGGTCGTTGGGGTAGGTATTCTTTAGTGTTTCGAGGTCTTCATCTGTAAGGAGGGGGTAATGGTCCTTCAAGTAGGATTTGAACTCTCCTTCATTGTCAGTCGCTTTCTTAACCTGGTCGGAGCCTTCGTTAGAGGTGAAGCCGATAATGGTAGGGACTTTGACGTATTTGTTCGACAGTATGGCAGCAGGGGCGGGCTGAGTGAACATGCCACCTTCCGGCTCGGTCGTTGGGGCCCACATCCAGCGGGGTGGAGTGTTCCGTCCGGGGAAGGACATGGGGTAGTTTTCGTAGTATAGGTCACCAGTCTCGGCATTGCGAACGCAAGCAATATCTGTGCAGTTCAGCCCGTCTGCAACTTCGTTCCAAAACTTCTCAGCCTGGTCGGGTGTGAAGAAGGTCGGGCTTGCGGGAGACTGAGCGATGGCTCCGTGGAAGAGTCGCTTGCGGCCGGTCCCAGGGACATTGTAGTAGTTGTCACCCTCGTTCGCAGTCAAGTGGAGCATGACTGAGGCGCCGCCCGCACTCGTGCCCATTATGACTACGTGGTCAGGGTTGCCGCCAAAGTAGCGAATGTACTTTTGTACCCATTCCAACGCCGCCCGCTGGTCGCGCAATCCGTTATTGTAGTCGCCATCCTGCGCGATCTCTTTTCCGGAAAGAAAGCCGTAAATGCCGTTGCGGTAGTACATGGTGACTACGATAATACCCTTGTCCAGCTTGCCGTCTACGCCTTTTTCACGACGAGCCTTCTCTACCATTTCGCCTCCATTGCTGCGTCCAGGAAGATGGAAGCCACCACCGGGGATGTTGACCAAAACAGGGAGATCATCACCGGGCTCAGCATCGATTGGCGTGAAGACATTAAGACTCAAGCAATCCTCTGTAGACCGGGTCTTGATACCCAGAACGTCGGGGCCCGAGATATCCTTCCTGTTCCTCTCTGCTGGGTTGATCTTCTGTATCCTCGGGCACATGCCCAGCGAGCCATCCCAGACCAAAGGCTTCTCTGCGCGACCAATGCCATATGTTCTGTTCACGGGCTGTGGTCCACGGAATCGGTTCTTGCCTCCAGCATCTGCAGCGTATGGAATGTTCCAGTAGGAACGGACCTTGTCTGTAGTGTTGGGCTTAATGGCCAGGTAGTCCAGTTCGACAACGTATGGATCTTCGGTGTTCTTCAACGGCGCAGAGAAGGGAGGGGCTGTCGGCTTCGATGTTAACGGCGGTATCCATTCGGAGCTGGGTCGAAGGTCGGGCGAGTAAAGGAAGGCGAACGTGAATGCGAGAACGATGGCAGCGGCGAGACCAAGGATAACGCGCCGGTCGAAGATGAGACTCGAGTTGAGGGGACGTACTGCCATGATAGGCAAACGTGGGTGGGGGGGCTACAAAAGAGTGTGGTGAAGGGTTGCGAAAGGTCGTGTGAAGAAGAAAGAAATCAATTCACGACTGTCAAAGTCACGTCTGCAGCTGCACCCGGGGCAGCAAATTCAGGGACGCAGACGGGTGGAGGTTCCTCGCCGCTGTCACAGACTTGCTAGACATTCTTGTTTCTGGATGCCTGGTTCTTGGCCAGCCAGACCGACGGAAGCGGCTAAGGGGGCGGCAATCGGCACCATGTCCTTGGCGCTGACGCGTATCGCATTTGGGCGAATCCCATGGCGATCGACACCTCAACGTCTGGCGCCTTGTTCAGAGAGAGGGACGGGGCGGACAGTTGATGGGTGGGTTATGGTGGTAGCACATGCACATGATCAAGATAGCGGTGGTGAACTGTATCTGGTCTTGGCGGTTTGGGTATGTAGAGGCAGTTTGGTATGGCGAGCCAAATACTTAATTGAGCCCCGAATAAAATCATCGCCTTTGATGAAGAACCCATGGAACCAAGTGCATCGTTTCCGAGATGAGGCATTGCTCATTACATAATGGTGTTGTATCACCAGACAAGACAGACAAAAGCAACCTAGCTTACATGGCACATGGATCTGGCCAGTCGGTATCCGTTAAGATTCATATCAGGAGCATTGCTTTTGGTCAAGCATCCAACTACGCTACTTATTACTTTGGAGATGTATTTTGAGCCAGGTCCCATAAATAAGATGTATTGATGAAGCATATCTGCAAAGTTGAGCGGATTGAGCGTCTTCATTGCGCACATAGACTTGGTATCACCAGTTCCTAATATATGAAGAGTGATATCTAGAGCCCGCGATTAGGCAAGTCCAAAACAACTGTTTTGTTATAGATATTTTGCTTCATTGGGAGAAAGGTCTCATTAGTATCCAAGTGTATGATTTTGCGGGTGTAGACTTGAGTATGGATTTGTCATAATGCAGCGTTGTCGAATCTTTTCTTCTCCTCGATCCCACTAGATAATATCGTGACTTGACTGTCCATATCTGTTTGGCATACAGCGTATCAGATTATTTTCTCAGGAAACTACTCGCAGGCCGCACCCCAATCTGCCGGAATCGAGTACTTAAAAAACAGACGATGTAGTCAGCAAGACAATGTCATATCGTTCTATTGAGGGGAGTTCAAGCTTTCCAGAACATCTCACGGGACAAAAGTCATGAATTCTCTATCGAGCTCTCACACAGCTCAAGCCCAGCTTTCATTTACATGTGCGGGAATATTGTCTACCGAGTTTATCATTATACCAAACTTTAGTGTCTAACAGCTTAGCCAGTTCACGCTTGGTCTTCCATCCAGCTCCTTCGCCGTCGCCATCGAACTCCCTACTTCTGAAGCTTTTCTGCATCAAGGGAGCTTTATCGCGTCACATTCCATAGAACGAAAGAAGATGTATCAAGTAGAACCATGTTTCCCTGTAGCGACACATATCATTCGTCATAAACCCTTCCCCCCAATAAAACCTACCGCGATTTCAAACCCCCATCTCCTCATTGCCTCAATGATTCCTCACCACCCTCATCCCACCCAATCCCCATCCATTCTCATTATTCACAGCACCTCTTATTAGCCAAAAATCCCTCTTCCCCCCATTCCCACCCTACCACCCAGAACCAACCCAAACCCAACCCACTCCTCGCACCAAACTCCCTCGCCCACCCTGCCTCCTTCAAAAACCCCCTCCATCCCCCCTTCTTCTTCACCCACAGCCATCTCACCACCACCGCCACCGGCACCAGGAAAATGGACTTCACATCCCCCCTCAACATCCCCCTCCAAACAATGCCCTCGCGGACCCCCTACCTCAGTCTAACCTTCTCCCCCTGTCCCGCCTCTACCCCCACTGTCCCATCCCTCCCCCCTTACACCTCCACCTGCACCTCCAAAACCATCACTTCACTACCACCCGCGTACACGGGCCAAGACGCAAACACTTCATCGCGCACTCCAACAGCACCTCAACCACCACCACCACCACCACCAGCATCATCAGCAGGTGAAGCGCAAGTGCAAGCACCAAAGCCCACCACGCACAGCGCAGCGATTTCGCCGCGGGACCTCGAGGCAGCGACGGGAATGAGGGGAGTAGCTATGCCGGGGGAAACGCGTAGGAAAATCATGTGTTTTGCTGTTTATGTGGTTTTTGGGTTGGCGTGGATGGGGGCGCTGTGGGTTGTGGTCAAGTTGTTGCAGTTGTGATTTTGATTTCGAGTTTGGTGGAGGGAAGGGAGGGGTGGGGTGGGGGTGAGGAAGATGGGAGAATGGCGGAAAAGGGGAAAAGAGAAAGGAGAAAGAGAGAAAGAGGAAGATAGGATGGGGATGGGGGTTATGATAATTGCCATGTGTGAGAGAACGAGGGAGGAGGGGGAAGAAGAAGAAGAAGAAGAAGAGGGGGATACAAGCATGGAGGGAAGTTCGAGGTTTCTGACAGGAAAAGGAAGGAGAGAGTAGTTAGGAGGGGTAATGAGTTAGTAGAAAAGTATGTGTGGTCATTAAGATTTTTTTCTTTGCAAAAAAATATACAACTTGTGTTTATTTTCAAACAACATCTCTGTTTGATTTTTATTGTATGAAGTACACTTGGTAACCAAAACCAGAATCATCGTAAGTGTAGCTTTTTTTCTTTTTTGCCTTACGTCCCCCCCTTACTGGCACACATGCCACATACTTGACACAAATAATTACAGCCATGATCATGTTCAATAGGAAAAGGTTTTTTAGGGGAAAAACATTGAAGGGGGTATATTATTGACATGAAAATCAAAGGTTGGGGAAAACATCGACTTCCTACTCATAACAGTCAAAAAAAAAGCCTAGTGGAACAAATCTTGCGCCGCAGCAGCAGTTGCTTGAGCCTGTGCTTTGGCAGCCTCATTGGCAGCAGCCATGGCGGCAGAAAGATCATTGTCGACTTTCTGCTGCGACGAGCTTCCCGGGCGAGTCTCGCCGGTTCCTTCGCGCTCGCCTACTGCGGCTGCGGCGAGGTGTTGAAGGCCGGCCATGTTGGGTTCGAGCTGGGGACTGGCTTGCTCTGGGCCGTTGAAGGGGGGCGTGGAAGCCTTCTTTTGATGTAATAGATCCCTGATGGCAGTTTCCCAGCCTAGGCCGTCGGAGCTGCGATGGATGATCTGGCCATTAGATAGAGCATCGCTCATTTCTTTGATGCTGGATTGGGCGTCTACTTGCGTCTCGACTCGGTCGGATAGTTCAGTGAGCGAGGTTGCTACTAGTGCAGCAAATATGTGGTGCAATGGAGTTATTGCACCGCTCTTTAGGTTGTTGAGAAGCTCTTGGGTAGCATGAAGAACCTCTACAGAAGGAATGTTTTGTAAGGAAAGCCTGGCTATAAACACTCGCAGATACTGATATGCTAGATGAGGAGGTGAGTTTCGCGTCAGGCTGGTTAGATCAATTGATTGCTTGACTTCATCCAGCAAGCCATTAAGGTACTCCGATTCAGGACTCCCGGGTTTGAGTGCAGAAAAGACAAAAGGGGCTGAAGAGTCAACATTCGGTATGCTGCCTGCGCGGTTCACGTACGCTATCCGACCTACGATTTGAGCGGCACCTATTCAAGGTTAATAGTGTTCGGTCATAAACAGATATACTTGTGTACTAACGAGCAAGGTAGTAGCCGACTTCGCCAAGTGCCGTATAATCATCCTTGGAAAGAGTCCCACTGTACCGTCGAATCATCATATCCTTGGAGCGGCTTGATGCGTGAAATCGATCTAGTATCAGGGCAGTCCAGTAGACACGTCTTGCTGTGTGGTAAATCTCAATGTCTTGCTCCTTGATCGTCGTCAGGGTCCGCGCATCATTAATGCCGGCGTCGGCAATGGAGGCTGAGATTCTAGCGAGCAATCCTGTTGTGCTTCCAACAATACCCGGGCCAGGCCGGTCAGAGGCGGCAGCAAGAAGAACCATGGACTGGCAGTATACCAGGTGATTGTAGAACTGCCGCGAACTGTCCGAGTCATGCAAGCAGTAGCTAGCTGCATCAACCGAAGTAAAGCATTGTTGGAGCAGCTGGTTGAGATTTATCTCGAGAGGTGGCAGGGCCTTTGAAGCGAGTGAACGGATGCAACCTTCCAATGTCATGAAAAAAGTTTCTCGCAACTTGGATGGACAGTTGGTAAGCCGATTCAGTTGCGACTCATGGTGGGGCAAAACTGGCAACGTGGGGTGTATGATGTTATAGTAACTAGGGCATGGTCAGCACAGGCCATTTCGAGCACAAGAAGCGCACCTACGCCTTGAGGGTCTCTTCGTTGGAGCCAGTGATCAGACTTCCACCCAAGTTCATATCACCAAACGAGGTGCGGCGGTTGCCATTAAGGGATGATTCTTGATCGCCTAGAGCAGGCAAACCATGCGCATCCATGGGACCATTGGACCGGTCTGGAGCAGTCCAATTCGGTCGACTGAAGGCTTCGTGGAAACCCTCGGTCATGGAATGGGTGCGCTGGCGTTTGAACTGGGGTGGGCTCTGTGTATCTGGGAACGTTTGATCTCCAATGGATCCAAAATCAAACGTATGCGTTGGGTTGGGAGGATGATGGATTTGGCTTTCGAGCGAGTTGAGTCGGTCTGCGAGTTCTTTGATATAACTAAACAATGTCAGCATGCCCACCAACAAGATGGAGTGGTGGATAGCATACCCTTTGCTGGGCCCACGCTTCATGGGCTGTCGGCTAAACTGACATCGTGCTCCTGTCCTCTTGCAACTAGAGCATGCCTCGGGGCCGTTTTCACTGGTTGCGTCACATCGAATCTACTTGGAGGTAAGCAGCAGCTATGGACGCGCGGGCCGGGAGCGGCGCACCTTCTTTCTACGGCATTCGTCGCAGGCGCGCGAGACCTTTGAACGCTTGCGGGTGGGGTCGTTGGGGTCGAAGTGGTCGTGATGGCCCTCCAAGCTCATGACGTGTTGGGCCATTTGCTGTGGAGAGTGCGTTGGACGGGCCGGGCCCTGAAAGTGCGGATGCGCAGCCATTGCCGGGCCCATGTGCGCCATCTGCTGATACTGGGGCTGCTGGGGGCCAGGCGGATGCATCATGTCTCCTCCTTCCCGCAGCTGTTGCAGATTCTCTTGCAGGCGCAGTTCGGGATCCGTCAACTGGTGCTGGGGCGCTGGTGGTGTGCCGTTCTGGTTCGCGTATTGGCCTGGCCCTCCGCCCATCTGCGCGTCGGGATCCGCGTAGCCAGCCATGTTGGAGCGCGTCGTATGGAGAATGGCAATCAGGTGGCGTGGGGTTAGGTTTTGCTAGAGACGGCTACTAAGATTGAGTACGCGATCGCGCGCAGGGCGGGTTGATGCTGTTGTCAGTCAAGAGAAACGGACGGTTCAGAAGCGACCGAGGGAAGTTGTGCGAGCTTTGCGATTTTTGCGCTAGCGTGAACCATGGCATGAGGGCAGAGGTTCTGATTAGACATGGAGAGGGACGGCAACAACATGATTTTGGTGGGTGGAGCATGCAAGGACAACTGACACGACTTTTGCCCGCTGTGTTGCTCGGAAGCTACTGGCTGGGTTGGTGACGATGTGGTCGCTGTTCGGATTATCTCTTCCACCGTCCGGGACGGCGACTGGAAGCACCAGGCTCGGCCATTGTTTGGAGAGGGCAAAAAGTTTGACCAGTCAGCGGGTGCTGCCGGCCAAGACTACGATTACTGAGCAAATGGCTGCTGCATCTGCTACCAAGTCATTTTGACGAGGACTGGAGTAGCTAGCTAAGGGGGGGGAGGGAGGAAGGTAATGGCAAGGCTCATGGCGCGCTACTCGCAGGGTCATGTGTGCTAGTAGTAGTAGAGGCTTCCCGAGGGACGGAGAGAAAGAGAAAGTTTGGCGCAATGGCAATTCAGAACACGAGTTTGAGCAGCCATTGCGGGCCGAGTGCAGGCTTGCGATTGAAGCCGGTGTCAAGACGGACGATTGCAGGTGACCGTGCAGAGCAATGGTGTCTTGATAGTCGGCGTCTAGAGCAGGCGTGGGTCGAGGGGGCAGGTGGGTTGTGGTGTGGGCAGGCTAGGGATACAGTAGTACGCACATGGATGCACATGTCAATTGCTACCTAGATAGATGAAGACAACCAGACTGACGGAGATGGAGTGCAGCCTGGGCCCCCGACTTTTTTAGAACAGGGCCCTGTCCGGTAAGCAGATAAGTACACAGTAGGCATGTACACAGTATGGCAACCGTAAGTGCCTGGACAGTGTGTTGGAATGGCTACAGGACTTGGCTCTGCTGGCCCTGCCTTTCTCGGAGGCACACAGACGTGGGCCCAGGGCAAGCACGGCCCACTGGCTGTCTGTACCGCACCTGAAATATGTACTACGTATGTGTACTATACATGTGCTCCATGGACGGGCCGTCGACACTGGAGCAAAGCTTCAAAGCGACCGGACAGTGCCTAGTTGATTCGACGCCGAGGCACGAGGGGTGCAGGTGCACAACGAGACAGTCGGGGTGGCCACGCAACCCCCCTCCATCCGCCTACTTAGTCAAATAGCTACGCCCGTATATGTATGTACATGTACTTATACAATACAAAGATACATTGGGGTCTTTGTTTCATGGAGCGCACAGCCAGTCACGTGCAAGCGGCGGGTTGATAATAATTGTGCTAATTAATTCAAAGGCAATTTGCGGCCTCGCGCCCGTGACAGGGCTGACAGGTGGCATGGTCCCGCCATGGAGAAGGCCGCACGCATAGCTGGGGGCAGGCAATGTACCTGGCAGAGACGAGGAGAGCGAGGACAGGTAAGTAGTATAGTGTAAGTAGTGGATAGAGATAGGTACAAGTTGGAATCCATGGCAGGCCCTGGGGGGGACACGACGGGGTGCAGCCAATGGCGGGGGAGCCCTCAGCGGCAAGCAAAACGGCCTGACTCGACAAGCGAACAGCCTCCGCCGTGAAACAGGCGGTGCGTGGAGTGCCGCATAATTTATTCGACAAGGCGGCCGACGAGGGGCCAGCGCAGCACGAAGGGGGGGGGGACGCGTAGTCAGATGGGCGACCGAGGGCGAGGGCGAGGGCGAGGGTGAGGGTGAGGGACAAGGTCCGGTGCTTTGTGGCGGCCATGGAGCGCCTAAGCAGCAGCTGCAGGTCATGGCCCCAGGACGGCAGCATAGTGAGTAGGCGTACGCAGTAGGGGCACATGGATGATAGCCTGCGCCGGGATGCGGTGAGAGGGAC